GATGAGACAGACTTGCTTACAGAAAGATAATGTTCATCGAGGAGCATGGCCCTCGAATAGGCATTTGATATACACGAAATGTCGAGAAAGTCTCGAGCTGTACATGAACAATTGAGCACATGTTAACCCACCGCAAACCTAGCTGTCGTCTGCTCAGCTGGCAGGATGGAGGTCTTCTCTTAAAAGTTTGCCGTATCGGTTTGCGCAGGCTTCTCACGGCATGTGTGGTGTGTGTCCAGTTGGGCATGTCAATGACCGCGTTGCATCGGTCTGCAACGGCAATGTGACGGTTCCTTCGATCGCTTGCACTGCATGAATGGTGCGGGCCGATTGGGGGCCAATTCCTGGAAGCTCTAGTCGGTGCAGAAATGCCGGCCAGCCAGCATGAGCGCTACTAGCACCCACATTGGAAATGATGTTCTCTTCTCATAAGCCCGTACCCATCAAAGGCATGGGGCTGCTACGACAGTGTAACCTGTCGTAGGGAGCACTGAGGTGCTCGGGGATTGCACGTAAGATTGACACTTTTGGGAACCTGGAGCCTGCACCTGCCTGTAAATGATGCGTACACGCGGCTTGACTTGCGGCCCGCGGGCCGCGGGTCTTCACTGAAATGATTCTCACCGCCGGCGCAGTCTGAGCTTGCGCGCCGCAGCTCCCGGCTTGTCCCGTACGGAACTATTAGGGAGCGGAGTCCGGACGTTGCGGATTCCGGCGAGCATGACCGACAATGCAGCGGCTGGTGCCAGCATGCAGAAGGGGCCCTCATGCCCTTGTTGAAGAAGCAACTTCAGCAGGGGTCCAAGGAAATAAGTCGGGGCGGCAGAAGTCCACACTAACACGCAGGAGCAGCTCCGTGGTGAGCAGGCTCAACAGGAGGATGTTCTTCGATCTCAACCTTCCCAACGACGGCAAGAATGAGCTGCTGCGGAGGGCGATGGTGGCACAGGCTATCTGTTCCGGTATTGCAGTCCTGTCCTTGATCTTCTTCTCATCTGCAGAGAAGCAGCTGATTGCATTTGCACTTTGCAGTAGCCCCGTTGTTTATGATATAAAATGATGGTTCTTTTGATTATGAGGAGATAGACAATGCTGTCGCCAGTGAATGATGCACTTTATGATGAAATGCACCTAAAAGTCTAATTGGTAGTTACGCAGCTCTTAGTCAATCTGATCAGCTTCCAAAACCTTGTGAGCAGCGGATTGGATTAAATTCTTGACGCGGAAGCCTTTGTGCAGGTTATGACGGTGTGGCACACAATCACACTGTTGCTGGGCGAATGATGACGAGTGATGACACATGCAAGTCGCAGCCTGTCAAGCTGGAGTCTGCAATTGCCGCAGCTGCCGGTGTGGCGGGTGCTGCCAGAAGCTTGCAGGTGAAGACCTGGTCATAGCCTTACAAGGGAACAGTTGTCAGCATGGCTTGAAGCCCCCTTCCGCACAGGATTATCGCTTTGTATGTCCGTGGTTCTTGGAGACATGGACTCGCACCACCCTCGTGTGGACCTACAAGTCCTGTTTCACACCACCATGCACAAGAATCAGAGAAAGTCCTTGAAGCTTGTGAGCCGCCCTGTTGATGATTTTTTCTTAACCCAGCGCCTTTGCCTTTTTCTCTTTCTACAGAGCATCGGAGCAGACCGCTCCGGCCCTGGGTTCCAGCAGCTGAATAGAATCACTATGGTCATTGAAGATGCTTCGCAAGCAAGCTCTCTGGTAAGAAAAGACTGCGCTCACCATGTCTCAACAACTTTTGGGAACCGAGGGGCACCTCTCGCAGCCTTGAAAAAGTCTGTACTTTGTAGAGACTGAACTTTCAACTCAAAACCATTGACCGCGATGATGCCCTGCCGGCAAAAGCAGGGCTCCATCCTCATACAACAGATTTTGAGCAGTGCCGTAGAGAAGTTCCAAACACAAGAGAGCTTAACTCAGTACTTATGCCCGGTAATTGCTTGGCCTTGCAGAGCAGCGCCAACCCAGTGCTGGCAAGTTACGATATTGTTGCGGTGGAACCGACGAACGCCCGCACATTCATGCAAGCGTGCACGTCGCTAGAGGTCGACCTCATTGCACTCAGTCTGGGCTCGAGGCGCTCCTTCCGCTTCCGCCAGCAGGATGTCCGAGCGGCTCTCGATGTAAGTCACTTGACTTATTGACGATGTGAGTAGACGAAATAGATCTTGCTTCCCTGCCATTGTTGGGGGTTTTGGAGCCCCCAAGCCTTCGTTAACTTTACTGTCCCTGGGGCGCATGTGCATTTTAAGCAGGAAGCAGAATGTCAGGATTTGACCTCCTCACAAGTGAAGTGGCTTTCTGTGATCATCAAAGAGGCAGAGGATGTTCGTCACAAGGTCTTTCTTTTCTCACGGAACTCAGAAGGTCCATTGGGTACATGATCACTTCAAGAGCTTCTCCATGTCCCTGTTCACTGCAGAGGGGTCTCCACTTCGAGATATCCTACAGCGGCCTCTTCCAAGACGGTCAGAGTCGGCGGCAGCTGCTGACTAATGCACAGGTGACCGCACCACTACCTGAGGTCACTACCGTGGTCGCATCTTGTCGCAGACTCCTGTTTTCCCCCTGCCCCTTTCGTCTTGACCCAAGGAAAGTAACAAAACTCCGATGGCTGCACTGTATAAGGCTCCTCTTGCACAAGAGGACGGTCAATGCAAACCGCTCTGATGCTGATGAAGGTCCTGATGAAAATGCACATTATTCAGGATATTGATCGACCTCCGGGCATGTAATAAACAGGGCTCTCAAAGGGGGCGTCCTGTGACCCGTAACACCTCGGCGACCAGATAGCTAGCCTGCCTGCAGTTCGGTCGCTAAATCCGGTCGACTTGATCGAATTCTCGGCGATATGAGAGCAGACTATGTTGCGAAGTGGCCGCCGCGGTATCACGTGGTTAGACGCCCTCGTTAAAGGAGAAGTTCGAAGTAGGACACCTTCTGAAGCGTACGAAGGTATGTCTGAGAGGCAGTATGGTGCACCTTTCCGTAACCTATCTTCCGCTCTCGAGTTTTCGCAGGCGCTTGTAAAGATGACACGTGGCAAGAACATCATCCTCTCGAGCGGGGCATCCCAGACGACAGACCTTCGCAACCCATACGACGTGCGCAACCTCGCAACCCTTCTCGGGCTCAATTTCGCTCACGCAAAAGCTGCCACATCACAAAGAGCCACCGCCGTCATCTTGAGAGGCGAGACTCGGCGCAGCACGCTGCGAGGGGCAGTGGCCGTACAGACCCTTCCAACGCCGCCGAGTCGGCCTTCTGCAAACGCTGAGCGTCAGGAGACGGGGGGAGCAAGGCCGGTTGATGAGGGTCTGAGCACGAGCGAAGTGGGAGTCTCTGCGATGGAGATTGAGCAGGCTACCGGAGAGTTGACGCGACTTGCAAACGAAACATCAGGAGGGCAGGAAGGAGACGAGCACAACGGTAGAGCCCACAGTGGGCTGCCAAGCGCACTCTTAGGGCAAAGTTCGCAAGCGAGCCCGTCAGCTTTTAGCACCCAAGCAACGCTTTCCGTTGCCTCAGGAGAAGTGGACGGTGAATGGACCACAGTGCAAGGCCGCAGTAAAGCTGGGAGAGCAAGCGCCTCAAAGCAGCGACGGAAACAGAGAAATAGGTTCATGAAGATTCAGTTGTAAATGCACGAATCAAGTGCATCATGGTGCCCTGATACATCTGATCGACTGATTTCGTATATTGGTCGTGGCTCAGTGAACGTGCTGCCGTTCTCCTCAATCCAGCGTTGTGGCCGGCGTCCATAGTTCCGACGTGGTCGGAAGCTCTGTGTGGCTCAATCAATGCATTCATGGTGTACGGATTGATGACTCAAGTCAGACTACCGTCGAGCACGATCTGACGTGTGGATACGTTGAAGCGCGGAAGGGGGAGCTGGTGGACCTAGCTCTGCCTTCTGGACATGATCTACCGCGACCATGTTGCAACGTTCATTATATATGATTACAGATGTTGCTTGCACCAGCGTAGTTTTTGGGCTGGATTGCTCCCGATCAAGCACCTGCCCAAGTAGGCTCGTATTGCTAGCGCCACGATCGAACCATGTCAGGCGCAGTGAATACGTTTTGATAGATCAACGTGCTCACTCGTTGAAGCTTTCTGTTCGATTTGAAGACATTGATTTTCGAACAGCCGCAAAGTACGTTGTGGCTGCAAAAAGAGCGTATTGCGGCAGTCTACCGACGAATCCGGGGCCTTACCCAGGCCCAAGCTTAACATGATGTCGGCGACGTCACGTCCAAACTGTTCGGATACATGTGGGCACTGTTCGAGCATGCAAAGCATGCATGATTGCTGCCACGTGATGTGCATTTTGAGCACTGGGGCACATCGCTTCCGTTGCGCTGATCGCCTTCGTGTATATTCTGTCAGATCGCTTCCAAGCTGGGTCTTCGCAGACTAGAAGGAGTGAATTGAACCGTAGCTTCGCAAAGGCGCCACAGCATGGCTTTGGCTGTTGTTCCAGCATTTTGACCCTGTCTTGTCTTTGTATCACTGGGTGTTCTCTTGCGCACTGGGCCGTCAACAAGCAAGAGAAGGCGTCCATGCACTTCGAACTTAAGAGCCATTAGCTCAACATCTTCCTGATGACCTTCGCCAAGATTATCGCCTAGAGGCACCCGGGCGCGGTAGAGTAGCTCACCCGCAGCTTTGCTAAGAAGCAGATGACTCGGATTCACGAGCGAGGGCCCTAAGCAATCTGGTGTGGATCCGACTGTACCCAGGCAAGAACTCAAGAAACGGATGAGGACTTCTGAAAAAATAGCGAATCTAGACAGCGTAACCACCGACGAGTTTTGGAGTAATGCCTCTGGCGGTGGTCGCCCAAAGATGTCACGGATTCTTAAAGCACGTGCAGCATTTGCTGGACTGAAGCAAGGCCTCATTCTCTTGCGCCAGTTTGCAAAAACAAGGTTGCTATTACGATCCACAGAGATTTGCTGGAGCTTCGGGTAAAGTAAAAGACTGTGAAACCTGTAGCAGTGCGTGGTTCTGTTAGGATTATGAGATCACCGGATGTTTGAAGCTCACCTGAGCAGATAATTTGAAACTGTCGCTGATCGCACAGTAGGAAGCCCGCTCGGACACCCCGTGCTTGCATTAGTATGAAAGAAGACCTCAAGTTCGAGTTAGATTCTTTTTTCGTTGACCCGCTTCGCCCTTTTGGTGCAGCTCATCTCGCTGCCCGTTCGAATCATCCAGCGTATCGACTGGTTCTATGAGAGGGTGCTGCCATGACGCATTCGGCTGGCAGTCCAACAGGGGAGGTTGCCATCGAGGTGAGCTCGTATGAAGTCGGAGGCGAAAGGGCGCCAGTTCTAATTCGACTGTCATCTCAAAGCATCATTGGCAGTGGTACCTGTGGTCAAACTGGCCCGGTGTCTATTCATTTCGCACATATGGTCCTGTGAAGCTTTCACTTGCGGATATGTGTCTGCTTCTCGATCATATTCGTGCCATATTGCCTGTATTGAAGGGGGCCGGGCCCTGTTTTACGTGCTGGAATCAATGAAAGGCCAGTGCGTTGAATCTGATGACTGGAACGGTGGCCTCAGACCATCCGCAGGATCTGATCAAACCACCATTAAATATCGCATCAGTCTTCGCGGTTATTGCTTACATTTCAAATAAAAACCGGTCAGCCTGTGTTCAGCGCAAAGTTCCTTGGAAGGGGAGCTGACTTACAGTCGAGATTGCAAAAGCGGCCCCGCACTAAGTCACAACAATCTTCGGAAGCCGTTAATTGATTGTTAAGGCAGCCGAGAATTCAAAGCGCGGTTTGCCGTCCTCAGAACCACCTCTCAAACTACCGCTCACTCGATATTGTTTCGTCCAGTGCAGATCCCATCTAGACCCTCCAATTTGAAGGAAGACGAACCTAAGCCTGCCAAGAAGCAGTCCGAAGACAAGCATGATGAGCGCAAAAAGGGTGCTCTAAAGGGGCAGCCGCCAGAGCCACCCCCTGCCCCCGTTGTCGCCGATGCTGTCCGTAAGCGCAGACAAACTTGCAACTCGTTTCCAAGTAGGTCTTCTCTGTCGATTTTGTAAATTGTGTTCCTCGACGTAGGTGGGTAGGAGATTGCTGACTGCGACACGTCTCTGTGCAATGAACATGCGTTATTTCACAGCGCAACTACAGACCTCTGCGGTTTGATTGTTTGCAGCGTAAGGTTTTTTGGATCTTTCTTGCTGGGAAAAACGGATTTGAGAATATTGGCAGGAACCTCGGTGGCATACAGCAATTCAGTCCAGCGTCTCTCTGAGCTCACGAAGCGAGGCTGCAATCGTGCTACACGAATACACGCCTGTTTACGGCGGACAAATCTGAAACCAATATGGCCAATCTTGATGAATTGTTTGCTCTCATTCATCCGCTGGCGCTGAGATCGACTGCAACGTGCCCGATGCATGACTGTGGTAAACCAAGCGAACTTCATTTTGCCAGGCAAGACCAATCTGATGAGAATCCTCTTATCTTTCTTCAGCTGGAGGGGTGATCTTACAGCCCCTTCCGCCCCACGAGCACGTCTGGAGCCGCCCGGTCCCCGACCCCATCGCCTGGGTAAGCTGTCACGGGGAGCTCAAATCTTCCCACGACCTCGTCATAAAGTACAATTGTACCAAGATACCCGTTCATCATCTGACTGCCCAATCGTACCTTCGCCGTTGCTTCGATACGAAACTCCGCTACTTGTGGCCCTTGAACTTCCAACTCTTTCCGCAGGTCTTTTGCGTATTCCTCTTCCCGATCGGCCTCCTTGCGCTTTTGCTCTGCCAGCATCGACATTGCGTCTTGTGCGGAGTGGTGAAAGAGGAGCGCACGTTCTGCGGCTGGGATCCTGATTAAATCATCGTTTTGCAACTCACAAACTTGCGTCGGCCGTTCTCCAAGATCCCTTGCTCATCTGTTCAGCAATGCTTTTGTGCTAGTTGCTGGTTCCTAGCCGGAAGTTTAGGGTCAACCATCGAACTATGTTGTAGTTTGTCCGGTCTACTAAATAAGGGGGCGTTCACCCCGCTGGAGTTTGCCACGGATGTATGCAAGCTGCCGTGCCATGGCTCGGGCAACGACCTGCATTTTCTGGACACGCACACATGTGATCTTATTCGATGAATGAGCCGCACTTTTATGGTTCTACATGAAATTCGGCAATTCGAGCATGCTATCTATGATCTTTGAAACTTTAAGGTACATTGACAGCCGCCGCGTATATCAGTTGCAGCGCAACATTGATGCCAGCGCACTTGTAATGATGGGGTTTTGGCGCGGTAGCCTCTAGCGATTGACTCGATCGGTGATGATGCAAACTGCATGAGCTAGCTCAAAAACTACGTGGAAGAGCTGCAGGCTCTGTACGTCTGACTAGCTGGCATGTCACGCAACGGAATTTTAGCCGCATATGATTACTTAGAAACTATGCAACTGTAAACGACTGAGTCCGCGCGTGACTGAATATATCGATCTGGTGCGCGGTGCATCTTGGAGAGCGCCTTGCATCCCGGCTACCGTAAGTAATTGCATAAGGGAGGGATAAAATTGCATCACCTGAATCGAGGGAACATTGAATGGCCGCGAATGGAGCTTTGCCCCAATAATGTCAGGCTCGTGCGTCGAAATCCATTTGCACATTTGTTCCTGGCCATAATTTATTCTACCGCGTCGTCCGCATGACACCGTGATGAGGTCCCTACAGCCGCCTTCAGGCCGCGCTAACCATCTGAACGTTATTCTTCGACGACGTACCCCCGGCCTGATTATGTTGTGACTAGGACAGTCGGCGCTTGTACGGTATTGCCAGGGTCGTATCAATCTCAATCAAAACTATCCAGCTGCGCTGCGCAATCCAGGTGACGGTAAAGCCCTAGCTAGAGCCGCTGTTTCAAGCAGGCAGTTTGTCCTACAAGCTACAGCATGCTACCACTTTTTGATGCCCGCACAATCCGGGCGAATACCCGGAGCACTCTGAGTCCGAACAGTTTGTGACCAAGCGAAGCGTTTTCTAGACTGCAACCCCTTTCTAAACGCTGCGGCGCGTCAGAAGATGGAACCTCGGTACAGGCACCCGGAGTGCGGATGTCGCTTGGGGGACGAGGGTGCACCAGAGGTGCCGGGGGCAGGAAACGAGCCGGTCCTCAGGAGCTCCGCTTTCCGTTTCTTCGGCCGCGGAATGCTCAGGTGCCGGACCGCCGATCGGGAGGCATTGTCTTGAGAAAGAATGTACGGCGAAATGAAGTCGGCCCCGAGAGCGGAGGGCGACATCGACCCCTCTTCCAGGTCAGGGACGGTCGCCTCGGCAATGGCGGGGGGCGGGCTGTACTGGCCAGGGCTGCTGCCGCCAGACCCGGGTCTCGGAGATTTCATCTCAGCGACGCACACCTGAAAGTGGCCAAGGGGCGGTCCTACTTAAGCGTTTTTTCAAACTTTTTGAGCGTCTAGATGTCAAAGGGAGTGAGCAAACCAGTGCGACCTCGTGTTGACAAAGATGCGGATGTGTCAAGCCGTTAGCAAAAACAGGGAACCTTTTGAGAAATACGTGAACCGAGTCGTGAACCGAGTCGGAAATGGTTTGCAACCAAATAGTTGCTAAGAAAAATGCATTCCGCAGACACGTCAGGGTTCCGACAGCGACTCCGGAAGTCAACGAGTGGTCGCCGATGAAACAGGCTGCCAAGGGATATTGGCAGCTCCATTGTATCATTCTTGGAACCTCGTTCGAGACAGCTTAGCACGATTGAATGCGGCCACGTAATGCTTTACCTGTACGGCATCGTAAACGCGCACGAAGAACCATTGGCGCCCGATGAGATCGGGGATGCTGGCTCGCGTCAGCGTCTCGAGGACCACCCGGTTGGGGTTCACCAACACCAGCTGGATGCCACGTGTCCTGCAAAAAAGCGGAAGTCGAGTCAGGGCTGGCCTCTAGCAGTCTTTAGCTTCAGTATATAATGACGTCAAGATCCGGGTTCAAGATTTTTACACTTTGCGGTGCTCGAACATGGACGGCAGCGATACGAGAAAAAGAACGAGCCCCTCGAACTCAACCCGTACCGCCGCACAAGGTTAAGGTCCTGCAAACACTGAACCTTGCGGTCATACTGGATAGGAAGACGGTGAGTAACCGCAGCAGACTTCTTGTCCGCCCCGTCGCTTCCTCAGCCCTCGGCATCGTTTCCACCCTTTTCTTTTTCACTTGGTGGAATGACAATGGAGCGAAAGGACTCGGCAAATTGTGCGCACATTCTCCGGGCATCCCGCGGGGCCTCACATGTACTCAGTATAGATGGTGACTAGCGCATGGCAGCCAGTGGAGTCGATCGAGCTGACGGGCGTCATCTCCAGGATCACGAACCGGAGCTCCTCCGACCCCGACCCCAGGCTCTCGTGCCGCCTGCAGCCAAGAGCGCGCCAATCTCACACCCGGTCGCGAACGTCGAAGACTTGCTTTAAGACTTGATCTTCTTTTTGCAAGCAGAATTTCGAAGGGAGTGTTCTTACCATTCTGGGGAACATGTGCTCACGACTTTGCTCCAATCCCAATGCCCAGGGCACTCTTGCAAGATCTTGTACGCGTGGAAGTGAAATGAGGTATAGTGGACTGGAGGAAAAAGGTGGCACGATGGCTGCTGCTGAGCAATCATGCGGCAACCGCTTGAAAACGCTTGCACGCTTCATCAAGCTCTGTTGAGTCGAAAGGCACCATCGAGCGCCTCGAACACCTGAGGCCTGACAAGCACCGGTCGCTCTTATTCTAGGACTATACAACCTACTCTCCACAGCAGCCGTGGCTTCCTCCACACTTCCACGAGGATCAGCAGCAGTCTGTCGGACGGCTCCAGGCTGTGCAGAACCCTTGATCAGCATCCGCAGCCTTGCTACACGTTTGTTCTACAACGTGGTAAGTCAATTGCGCAAAGCCTCCCCATGCTCACCTCAGCGTGTCCTTGATGAAAGGCACGTTGGCGAAGTAGATGGGGGCATCGATACGGACGATGACGACTCCCTCCGTCGTGATCGCGTCAGGGTACTGCTGCAGGTTGCGGTACACGGTCGTCCCGGGGAGCCGCCCCAGGACCGCAGTGTGCGGGTTGGCCGACTCGTTGACCACGAAGGCCAGCGACAAAATGACTGACACCACGACGCCGGTCTCGACGCCGAAGAAGAGCGTGCCTAGGAACGCGAGCATCCACAGCAAGAAGTCCTGCAGGGCCGAGGCGGGGGTGATGATAAGGTGCAACGGAAGGAGGGTTCAAATAAGACTGGGGTTTCGAGCAGCAAAACTTGCGAAGATAAAGACGAGCGTCTTCTGTGGTTCGATCAATCGTCCCTAAGAGCTTGACGTGTAACCGGGAACGGAGAAGGCACTTACATCGACTTGTTCAAGTGTACAAGCAACATTTAACTCTTGTGCCCAAGTCATTGCATTGCGCCTTTCTAAAAGGGGTTACTCGAGCTTCGTTGCCCAATCTTTTCATCCTGTTTCCTTTCACCGTCAACAGCCGTCGTAGGCTGCCCCGTAGTGGGTATAGCAAGAAACACATACTGGGAAGGACGAACTGGCCTGGCCGAGGAGACGAAGATAGGGGACTTATAAAGAGTTGGAAGACTTAAATGGCTGCCGCACCTTGCCGTTGACCTTGAGCAGGAAGAGCGCCTCCGGGTAATCGAGCAGGCCTATGACGCTTGACATGACGATGGACGCCAGGATGTTCATGGGCAGGTAATACAGCAGGTGCGTCAGGTACTTGATCACCACCACAACCAGCACCGCGCTGAACACGCCCGCCATCGACGTGCGCGCCCCCGTGTCGTTGTTCACCGAAGACCGCGTGAACGAGCCGTAGGCCGGGTACGCGTAAAACACCGACCCAATCAGGTTTGCGAGCCCCAGCCCGACCAACTCCTGGTTCGCGTCGAGGTCGTAATGGTGCCGGGCAGCGAGCGCTTTCGCGATACTGACCGATTCGATGCAGCCGACGCCGACAATGACTAACGCGGGCAGGGCTAGCCGCTGCACGTACTCTAGGTGGTTCCAGGAGGGCGCAAACCCGGGGAGCCCCTTGGGAATGTGACCGATCACGCGCACGTCAGCCTGTGTCAGCCACGCAAAGAGCGTCCCGACGATGACTGCAGCGAGAGGCCCGAGGACCCGTAAGAAGTGCAGGCCCTTGAACGACTTTCCGAGGTGTTTCATGATGAGCAGGAACAGGAGCGCGGCGACCCCCATGATCGCCTCGGGCCAGTGCGTGTGCCCCAGGTTGACGTAGATGTTGCGCAGTATGACGTGGAGGCGGTCGCTGGCGGGGAAGCGCAGGCCCATCCAGTAGCGCACCTGGCTCAAGCCAATGATGATGGCCGCGCCGGTCGTGAAGCCGGAGACCACCGGGTGGCTCAGGAAGCGCACGATCCAGCCCATACGCAGGAGGCCAAACAGGATCTGGAGGCAGTGGGGAAATGTGTCAGGAGCTGCTGAAAAGCACGATGTCTTTCCGAGTATGACAAGTATGAGAGAATCTGTTAGACAGGAAGGACTATGTGGAGGGCACGAAGAGCCTGACCCCCAAGATATGTGGACCCAAGACAACGGGGCGAACCAGGGCACATTTAGGCCCAAGAAATCTTGAATCTACCCTGCCAGATCAGGTCAGATGCAAGGGAAAGGATGCACAAATGATTCGAAGTGCATTTTGAATCGAATGCACAGCACCTCCTTGCAGTGACAAGTCCCTTGGCTTGTAGGCTAAAACTTTCTCCCTTCATGTTTCGGCGGTTGCCCAATGCAGACCCCAATAAAGAAATTGGAAAGCATGATTTCACCCTATCGTACCTCACAGATTGTCCGCAGCAACCGCGCTCACCTTGATTAGGCCAACTAGTAGAGAGAGCAGTATTGCCAGCTCTGCATATAGCTTCTTCAAAGCAGGGTCGGGGGACTCTGGGTCTATGTAGTCTCTTAGTGAATGTGAAACGAGGAGCGACACCAACGCCACCGGTCCAACTGCCAACTGTCGTGAGCTGCCAAAGACGGCATACGCGAAACTGGGGGCCAGGCCAGCATACAAGCCATAGACGGTCTCCAGCCCCGCAATGCGAGCTGCAAAAGACAGGTAGCAGTTTAGATTGTGCCACTCGTAGATTGGGGGGGGAAATAACTGCTAGAATGTAGGAACATTGTAGAAGAGATAAGCGCAAGAAAAGGGGCACCATTGACTACAGCTATTTGCATCAAACCTGCCATCGGGTTCCAATGATTCTGCAAAGATCTCTGATCTTGGACCGTCCGATCGACGACGGGGAAGGTATCGGACGGTTCGAAAACAGGAACCATGCTCGGAGAGTTTGGGACCCAATGGTAAGTTTGACGCAAACAGCTGTAGCTCCCTTTAGATGTCAATCATGGCATAATGCATGGGCAGGCCTGCTTACCGTAGGCCATGCTTTGCGGAATCAGCATAACTCCCACTGTCATCCCTGCTATGAAGTCCCCCTGAAGATCTAGGAAGGAGTAGTTCCGGAGGGTTCTGATGCAAGGTACCCATGACTCAAGTGTACTGCCTAGGACGGCGACGGGCTGGCTGCACAGGTTTTGCCAGGCAATGGACAAAGACTCTCTCAACGAGTCCGAGAGGTTGGGGCCAGCGTCTTCCGTATCGCCGCTGAACGAGTTCAGCTTGAGAACGCTCACATTATTGACCAGTGTGCTTCTAGCAGCAGAAGCATGACGTTCTTCGGGGCTCGACAAGAGTGCCTCCGCAAGGCCAGCATCATGGGCTGGCCCATGACCAGAGCTTCCTGCTTCCATTGTAACAATCCCTTATCCAACAACCAGGATCCGGCCGACAGCAATGCTGACACGCGCTTCAGAGTCTGCTAAATGATTGAGGCATCAGGGCGTGGAAGTAACTCGCGTTCTCCACGAACAGCTAGCCCAAAAAGAGACGCAGCGAGAGGAGGTGGTCGTTGCGTCATCCAGCTTGCTCATGACTATGATGTCAACAGATGCCTGAGGGACGTCCACCTTGTGATGTGATTTGAGTGATGCGATGTGACAACTCTGTTGACGTCTCATTCTCAGAATGATTCTGCCCTTTCTTCCAACGAGCTGCGAGCACCACCACCAACACAAACACAGACTTGCAGCAAGGATCCTTACGAAATCGTACAAACGCCGCGCTCTCGAGCTACCTAGCATTCAAGCCTGAAGGGCAGCTCGGATGCAGCTAAATTTTAGGGTTCGCATGTCATACGATTCATCATTCAATGCACCTTGCAGTCGTTTTGAACCGTCCGTTCTGCATGGGCATCATCGTGCGATTATATCTCTGTAAGAGTTGGACAAGATACAAACTTTTACCGTCGGATGAAAAACAAATTTGACGGTTGGATGGAGGGGGTCTAGATACACGGTACCGACCGTACAGCCTATGAGTAAGAGCACTTATGACCATGCCACACGCCTGGAGTAAGCAGGGGCCGTCGATTCTGTACTTTACACATGGCGCCCGATAAAGTGACCGACGTCAAGCACGAGGTACGACACTTTGAGCAGGGTACGCACCCATTGGCATGAGCTGGGCAGCTAGGCTCTATCTAGCTGCATTTCTTACAGGTCTTGGCCCAAAGCTTCTAGAAGAAGTCCCTTTCCAAGACCCAAACCACCAAACAGAAGCAATCCTGGAATTGCCTTCAGGCCTTCGCAATTGAACCACCCCTTCGCAGCATTCACTCCCACAAATATCAGCTCGTCAGGATTTTAGCTAACCCAGCTTGGTCTTCCTTACTGACCGTAACATTTTGGCAGCGCCAATGGCTTCTTCAGCGGTCTTTATGCAGGCGGCTTCTGCTAGGAACTTGTCGGTAGGTGTGGGGGTGGGGCAAGCTTGCGCAGCAGGGACCCGCGCACACGCTCAGGCCAGCAGCCATCTAGCACCAGTGTTGCAGCTTAGCGGCAATTCTGAAGCCCACCGCTTCACCCGTGTTGCGTCAATTGTTCGCACCTCACACAGAGAAACGAGCTCGGCAGCTCGTCATTTGGTTGATCCGCGCAGGGCTTCCGATGCTGCAGCTGCTTTTGCTGGAGGGGACTATCAAAGGAGAAGGCTCCGGGGGACAACATCCACAAAGTCGTCCTTCCTAGGGAGTGCTTCCGCGCTCGCAGAGCAGTCTGCTTCTGATTCCTCAAGCGGGGCCGCTGGGCGGGGCGGCGCGCTGACAGCAGAGGCCAACTTGTTTGCGCGCATCTACAGGATTTTCGTCTCCACAGTGACGGGGGCGGTCAAGTCGCAGGAGGACCCGGCCAAGCTGCTGGACCAGGCGGTGATTGACATGGAGGACGACCTGGGCAAGGTGAAGCAGGCTACCGCGGCCGTGGTGGGGGCGCAGCGCCAGCTGGAGCAAAAGTGAGCAGCTGAATATTGTGTTTCGCGTGTCTCGTGCATCAATCACATGTTGCCCGCAATTGGGTGATGGCTTCTTTGAGCTCCGAAGTATATTGGCTCAGGTTACAGTCCGCCCTACTGTGCTAGGAATGATGCTGTATGTTTGGAACCCGTTTGGAAGGACCTTGTTGCGGCAGCTGGTTCTTGTTAAGTGAAGTCTGCCCCCCCTATCTAATTAAAAGCAGCTTGTTTCTAAAGCAGGACGTACTGTGCAGATGCGGAATATTTAAGTTTTGAATGTCTGACAGCTTCGACATGGAGACAAATCAGACTTGCTCGAAAGACGCGCGGCGACGCGGTTGAAGCGTGCGAGAAGCGACCCACCATCGTCTGACAAATCCACCGCTTTGCCCTTTCTTTGCGGTCAACTTTTCACCGGTCGCATATTTTGTACCATTCTCTGCTTGGTAGCGTCTTTAAAGCGGCTGCCCCTTCTTCGCCAGGTACAACGGCGCCAGCCAGGTTGCGCGTATGTGGTACGACCGCGCGCGGCTGGCGTTGGCCAAGGGCGAGGAGGACCTGGCGCGGCGCGCGCTGGAGATGCGCAAGATCGAGGACGACAAGGCACGGGCCTTCAAGGACCAGCTGGACAAGCAGAGCGCAATTGCGACCAAGCTGGTGGCCAACACGAAGCTGCTGGAGGGCAAGATCAAGGAGGCGCAGTCCAAGAAGGACTCCCTCAAGTACCGGGCCGAGGCCGCCAAGGCCACACAGTCGGTGAGGATTGCCTGCAGGGGACGGTATGTTCACTTTTTCTGCGGGCCGTATGAGAAGGAGTTGGATTGGTTTGAAAGAGGATCTTATGGCTGGGAAGCAGCATTACTTGGTCTGTCAAGTACGTGGGAAAATAATGCTCAAGCTTTCTCAATCCACAAGCTCTGTCCGCATCTAAGCTTGCGGCTTTATTTTTCCATGTTCAACCCCAAGACGTCGCTTGTTCTGCCGATGTGAACGCGAAGGCCTCACGCTTGTTCGTCGATGTGTCCGAAGTGATTTTGGAGCAGCTCATGATCTTTCCTATTGGCCTGCCCCGCAAGCTGAGGTGCCTTTTTAAACAGTAAGATGCCATGCAAAGTCAAAGTTTGAGGTTCTTGTTGCGGACACCCTATGCGGGCAGCTTGGCGAGGCGACTTCGTCTTCCAAAGTCAGTGCGATAAATTGATTCGCTTCCTGTGCGTGCAGATCCAGGAGATGCTGGGCCAGATCGACACGAGCAAGGCCATCTACGCGTTCGGCAAGCTGGAGGAGGACGTGCTGCGCGCGGAGGCCAAGGCGGATGCGCTGTCCGATCTAGTTACCAGCGACATGGACGCCAAGTTCGCTGCGCTCGAGTCCGATTCCGCCGTCGAAGATGACCTGCAGCAGCTGCGGGACGAGATGCGGGGCGCGCGCGCGCTGCCGGCCCCAAAGGCCGCGGAAACGGGGGGGAAGAGTGTGTTCTGGAAGGAGTACGTGGACCCCCGGGTGGAGCGGGAGCTGGCCGAGCTGAGGGGTCAGATGACCGCGCAATGACACAAGGGCCACGGCCGGGGTTGGGGTGTGGGCTTTTGAGCAGCCTGGCCTTTGTTTGTTTCATAATGTAGGTTAGCTATAGCTGTCCAACAACGGACAAGGTGGAACTGGGGTTCCTCTTTGTTGTAAGCAGTATAGCAGCTCTGCGGCCATGCCGGCCTGGCCAGAGCCGCTTATCTGCGGTGCTCCGACCAGCTGGCGGGGGGCCTCCGCTGATGTAGGCTTTGGACTGCGCGACCTTTAGTACTCATAAGGCTACTAGATTATATGATGGCTCGTTTGTGTACATATATATGCGCATGGTCATGTGACCATGCGCCAAGCCAGTCCTTATAGTCGGTGATACCCAAACGTTTTCTTTGTTTGTTCGAGCTGGAGGCCGCTCCTTTGTTGTTGGTCTCTTCATTGCCATATTGTAGGGCTACAGAAGGTGTAGATATGATTTCGGGATGATTTCCTGCTCTCGGATTGATTCAACGACTTCGCGCCGGCGACCGCGCTGATCCACACGTTGATGGCGGCTAAGGGCATTGCAAAAAAACGTCGAAGTTTACCCCATAAGCAATGGGCAGATAGCATCGACGAATGGCATGCACGGCGGCATATTGTATCTTGAGGCGAGTGCGCGACCTAATAGACGCTTGCATCAAAGTTCGCTTGACATGTCCTCATCAATGAATCTGCTTCTTTCGCAGCGCCCCCGTCACATATACTCATGCACATGTTTGACTTGTCTTTCTTTTGGACGCAGCCACATACATGTTCGACTTAATGCACTTTTTCCAAATAACCTAGTCACTAGCTATCCATATAGGTACACCAATCATACTTGCAGGTATTATAACATGACCGTCGCGGACTCAAACTCCGGGTTGACGCTTGTAACTTGCGCGACGTGATGCACACTGAAGCTGCTTCACAGGATGCAGAAAAGGAGCCGACAACATCAATTCGAAATATTCGCAAATTTTTTGGTGAGTACCTAAGACTGTCAGTCCGCTTCACTCTACCACCTCTTGTCAGTCGAATCATTAGGAGGGAGGGGCAAGCTTGATGAGAAACAAGACGTTTCAACGCAGACCGATTTCTTTATTCCCCAAGCGAATCTGACGATTTTGACCGATTGCTTCCGGATTTTATACTTCCATCCTTGCTGTCACGACGGACAAGGTCCCGAGTGCTGTTACCCGTTGCCCTGCTCTCGTTTACCGGTTCTGGCAGGGCAGACGACTGCGGATTGTGAAGCTTGTCGTACTCCTCCTTTAGCTGCGCCAATCGAGCGGACACCTGGCAGAGAAGAGCACCAAAAAGCACTGAACGACCTTTGACGAAGATGCTGAAAAGGCCAACATCATACACAATCACTCAAACAGCCAGAAGAGGACAAGAGAGAATTAGGCTCGACTTTCACGGAAGGTACTTTGAGACGAGCGTTACTTCATTTGAGAGTGCGCTTTCAGATCAGACACAGTCGCAGAACTGGTCAATCTGACCTGATCCGACGTGCAAGACTGGGATTTTTGTTATACCCTATGAAGCAAAGTAGGAGGGGGGACGAATGGCGAAGAAGGGTCCTTGACGCAAAGCGGGGCAGAACAGGCAAAGACCCAAACAATGCCTGGTTGCTAGCGCCTCACAGAAGAGCCTATTTGGCCCCAACAGACGCTCAAGAACTTAAAACTTCTGGCAGGGACGCAAGAATTCCTCGTAGCGAAAAACTCTCGCTTGACAAGAACGGCGCACCTTGATGCTGTAGGCAATGGGCAGGAGCGTGTCGGGGTCGAGCAGTTCGTCGGGGAAGTTGCGCAGCGCGTGGACGAGCTTCTCAAACGGCATTTTCAGAAGGTCGTCGTGGCACTGCTTCAGCAGGGCCAGCCCAACGCGAAACACAACCTGCGGCAGTAACACAGGGCGTCAGCCCGAAAGGGCGCTGTGTCACGCTGGTCTAAACTGACGGACCGATCTCAGGTCTCAGGCCTCGGGCAAAGTGCGATCATACTTCGATCGCAATATCAGCAACGTAAAGGTCTTAAAAACTGTTTTTATGCTGTCCTAAAGGTGCGATGCCTCTGCGTCTCGGCAGTCCCGACCCTGCGCTTGGGCCCCGCCAAGGAAGCTACGGCGCATGCACTTTGAAGACTGCGCACCGAAGCCTTCCCTTTCTGCTCTCGACTGACCCAGCCAGTCGGACCAACCGACCATGCTTCTGATCAGCAGGGCGCGCTCACCTTCATGCCCTCGCTGAGAAAGACGTCCCAGATGCGCAGCGCGAGGGAGAAGGGGAAGGAGTAGGAGAAGACGGTGATGAACCACTGCGACGCGTACATGGACGGGTTGATGCACTCCTCCTCGAAGTGCGCGCCCAGGCGCGGGAACAGCTCCTGGACCAGCCGCTCAAACTGAAACAGGTACTGCTGCACCAGCGGCAGGCCCACCTGCACGCAGACGCACGCACCTCGAATTTGTGAAAAAGAGCAGCACAGTCCGGTATGGAAAAGTGGATTGCTACTCGACTGGGGTATTACCCAGGGGCATGTGGCTTCGAGCAGATATGACTCGCCACTTGTCATTCGAGACCAAAATAAAGAGGAGGGGAGGCAAAAGGACACCCGTGCTATCGTTTTGAAGCGTATATTGAGCAAGTGCAGGATTCTAGTTACAAATGGCAGGTCACGGCCCCTGCCACGGACTCGACTTCAAACAGGGTTCAACGGAGATCATGTTAAAGGCAAAGGTCGACAAGTGGTTGATGACGACCTTGAGTCGCGACGAGAAAGGAACCGAAGTCTTCAAATGGTGTTAAACTGATGGTCCACCACATCCCCCTTCCCCGCTGATAGCCCATCGACCCTGCTCGAGCAAGAGTGCCGCGCAATGCAAATTTGTTGAACCCAAAACTTCACACTCAGGCACACGTATACGCGCACGTCAGTCAAGGTGGGTGGGACGAATGCAAATTGCCTAGCGAGCTACCCTCAGAGTGTCAGGTCGACCTCAGAAGAAGCGCCTTACCAGGAATAGGCCTTCCATTGGGGCATGAACGGCGCCTTTGAGCAGCGCCACCAGCAGCCAGAAGGCGTCCTCCTCGCCCATGTATAAGAGGAGCAGCCCCGCCAAGAACCCCATACCCTGAACGTAACCGACCTGGAGACGAAACAGAGTGTGCCATTTGAAAACCAGTAAGGCACATTCCAAACAGCGCGCGCCTGGCAGTAACTACACCAACTACCTCAGAGTCCTCCAAAGAACCTTCAGACCAAGTAGCCGAGTAAGCTGATGCGGTACCATCAGAACGTTCTGGATCAGTTGGCTCAGACAGCCCCGCAGGTCAGCCTTCTGAACCATACATGCTTGAAGTGTTTGTTTGCATCGGGCGAGATTCAGGTGGCCAATTGAAGAAGACTGGCATACGGCTAGAATCGGCGTGGCTTGCCTCTTTGTCATAGACGGAGTATGCCTTGAGCACGTTGTACAGGCTGCGCTGGCCTGGCCCATGTCGTTGAGAGTAAAACACATGGCTCGGGAAGGTGCGGCTGATGTCGCGGATGATGTCAAGCTCGCTTAGGCTCGTCTCATAAAATACCAATTGCTGCAGACAGCAGATTCGCATCACTCCTAAGAAACAAGTAAGTACAGAATCAAGGGTACAGAACCAAGCACTTATGAGATCAAATATCGAGCAAAGCACTTATAGGATCAGGTATCGAGCAAGGAATTGGAAGTGGTTGCTTGCATTGAAAGTAGTTAGAAACCCGAGCTCTTGTTCTCTTTCACCTGAGCAATCAACATTTCTACAGTGGCAGTTCTGGTGTAGGTCAAAGAAGGGCACTGGAATCGGGCTCACCTCGTAAACTCCTGGATTCTGCAGCAGAAGATCTCGGCTCCCGGAGACGAGCTGCCAGACCAGGCCCCGTAAGCAGTCGGGGATCCCCTTCCTTATCCGTCTTTTCACTACAAGCGGCTTCTTTTTGCAGTAATGCTTCCACTCCATGCCCCCTGCCCCAATCATCTTGCGCCACTTCCGTAATCGCCTCTCATCCCTACACAATGAATGGGAGCGTGAGGATAAAGCATCAGAGAAAGGTTGCAGCTCATCACAAAGCGGAGCCAATGTGGGTTGACTGGTCGAAATTGGAACACTTCACCGGAAGCTGATGATTCCAAGCAGTGCACTTTGATCTGAATAAAAAGTCGCTGGATAAGACAGAGAGCTGAGGTGAATCCAGTTGTCCATGCCCCTTTGAATCTACCTGGTCCCCTTGGTCACACGTCCCGTCCTGCACCTTCGCCATTCGTCAGCAGTCCTCAGCAGTTGATTATCAAAGAAGGTGGTTCAATGCTTAATGCTGAAGCATGCTGAAACACTTTATAGCTTCCTTCAGAAGCAAAGTGCTCCACTCAAGCAGTGCTCTCACCTCTCTCGCTCTGTCTTCTCTTTCTTCTCCACTTTCTTCCCGTCGGTTGCCGCCTCCACCTGCTCACTGGCGGGGGGCGTGAAGAATCCAAATCTGTCCAGAGGCTGCCGCAAGGGTGGCGACCCCGGGTCTTCCCATTTGGACCGTTCTACCGGCAGGGACTGGCTGCGCGGCACCAGTTCCGACAACTCTGCGAGGGGGGCGAAAGTGGCCTGAGATGCAGATCCATTCTGCAGGCGCCCCCCTTGCTCCTCATCTTCTGAGAAGCGCTCGTCCGCCAGACCTGGCCGTCGATTTAATTGCACCAGCGTTGTCTGGTCAATCCTGACGGTGCTGCTTGTTGAGCTTACCATGACCCTGCTCGTGGAGCTCACTCTCACCAAATGCCCGTTTTCTACTGTCACAGACTTTGTCTCATTGAGGCCATTCCCAAAATTCGCTTCATAGACTCGGTCCCCGATGCGCTCCTTCCAACCAGCAGGGGGCACTCCGTCCACCAGTTCCCCTGTGAAGGGACTTTCCTTTCTACTGCTGTTCTTGGCAAAGCGCCGCGCCTGCCCAGGCACAGGTCGGTAGGGACTGCCCGATGGACTCGTGCTGGGGGCATGGTTGTGCCGACTAGAGAAGTGACCAAATCCAAGCCCTGCCTTCCCACTTGTGCTACTTCCTGCATGGCTCTCCCTCCTCTCCTCCATCTCCAGGTCCAGAGCTGTGAGATACCACTGGTAACTGATTACCACTGGTAACTTGTCTGCAGGTTGGTAATCTGCTAAATGATTTCCTGAGTTTCTAGCAACAAAGCAGACGCTGACCTAATTGCTCGTCAGCTTTTCTTAGGGTCATGTCAAAGTACTCTCTCACAGGGCACTGCATAACCCTAAGTGTGCATCCTGACCAAATTGGCACTCAACTATCCAACGGAAGCACCATACATTACTATTGCATCCCGCTGATAAGGAGTAGCGCAGAAGGAGCTTTAGCAGCATCAGGATGATCCGCGAGACACAAAGTCAATAAAACCTGAGTCCCTAAGGAATCAGATACCGGCTACTCCCTCTAGTAGAGAAGGTAAAAGGCGCATCCTTCATTGAGCCTGTTCTAGCAATGCATCATTTCTACGGACGAGATAGAAAAAGAGAGAGAGATTGAGGTCTGAAAATCTGAATGCGCCTTGAGCGCCATTGAAAACTTGGAAGCCATGGACCGCAAATCCAGTGGCTGATCTCTGCATGATGCTGGCGGCTGGAATGCTGACGCTTGCCCTGCATGACGCCGACGGTCCACGGCGAAATTTATGATGGGGCCGTGGTCAACCCGTCACCGGTTCGCTTGACCTGACCGGCTTGATATTATAAACAACTTGGGACTTGCGCCCGGCATTGTGGTCGGTTCTTCTATTCGACCGCTAAATTTTTTGAAATTAATGCAGCAACAGGGACTCACCACCATGCAGGTGGACCACCTTCTTGCAAACCCTAATTTGGTGCTGACTTGGCACAGCCAGTCCTTGAACGTTCAACTTCAAGTTGCGCCATCATGCCAATCAATGGCGTTGGCATTGCAATTTGCAGCTAGCTCAGCCAGCTGAAGTGGGGCGCCGGAGGGGGCGAGGAGACGATACAGACGATAGTCACTGCAGTTTGCATGTGGTTCAACCCTGGGTGGTGGAACCTCTTTTGAAAGTGGGACGTTATTTTGCTGTCCTTATGCTGCAGACAAATGGCTCTCAAGGAAACCTCCCCAAGCGTCGCCACCACAGATTTGTGCGATGCGCATGAGGAGAAGCTGCAAGCAGGCGATCTGAGGGTGCTGTCTCCTCCAGGGTTGCTCCAACCTTACGGCATGTTGAGGTCCTTTGCAGGTCCAAGCGCAACATTGAAGGTACTGCAACATGTTTCTTCTTTCTTCTCAAGGATTACCAGATTGCTTAAGTTCCTGATCTTCAAAAATCCGCCTCTTTCCACAGCAGATTGGAGCAAGCTCCTCAAGTTCCCTCTTCTTTTGAAATTTGCAGGTATTTGAAGACAACTCTCTAGTTCGGGAGGCGCTGGAACAGCCTGGTGAAGGCAGAGTTCTGGTGAGGACAATCGACTGTCAAAAGACACCTGTAGACATCATTGCATTAGACAGGAACAGTGGTCAAGAGCAGAACCGCTTTGAATCCTAGTCCAAAGCTTTTCTAACTCCTAGCCTGGAAAAGGTGCTCGATGTAGTACCATTATGCTGGAGGAATGCAGTGCTTAGAGCGTCTTGGTGAACCCCCTTATGATTGGGTAGAGGTACATCAAAGAATTCCTATAACGTGTGGACTTCCAGGTTGTTGATGGTGGTGGCTCAACGCGCTGTGCCTTGCTTGGTGGCAACCTGGGCCAGCTTGCGGAAAAGAACAAGTGGTCAGGCATCATTGTTTTTGGCTGCATCCGTGACGTTGACGAGATTGCTGAGTGCAAGGTACGAACATCCACCCTCTTCACACTTCTAGTAAGAAATGTTCTCAGCACCATCACAGAGGTTTCTCTTCAGCTGACTGTGAAGGTTATTGGTTTCACCACATTGATGCAGAACAGAGAGGCTGCCGCAGATACAACATCCAGGTAGCACAACTTTGAATGTTTTTCCAGCAATCTCTGTTCGCTTCAGCACACTTATAAGTCGCACTTTCATGCAGATTGGTGTGCGGGCTCTTGGAACACACCCGCGCAAGAGCTTGAAAAGAGGTGCAGGTGACAAGGATGTTGCCGTTTCATTTGGTGGCACAATAATCAGACCTGGCGAGTTTGTTTATGCTGACGGGGATGGCGTTCTTGTTTCAAGGTCAAAACTATAGGTGAGCGTCCGTAGCTGACCACAGAGGTGACACGACGGGGCAGACACGAGTTGTCTCGTTTGTAAACAGGCAAACAGGCAAATCAGTGCATGGTTCAATGTAGAGTATATAAACAAGCTGTATCATATAGTGAGGTTGCAGGAATTAGCGTCTTACCAATCGTTTTATCAATGCACCAGAATTTTGCTAAAAGTTACTGAAAGATAGTGCGCAAGTGAGAATTTCCCCAATTAATGCAAGAGACTATGGTAAGCTAGTGGACAGAGTCAATCAAAAATGCGCATATAATGGTGCAGCTAGATCAATGAACGCCGCTTGTCCGTTAATTGAGCTTTGAGTTCACGTTCATATGGTCGATAATATATGCGCAGAATAGGCCGCGGCATGCAGATCTGGCCAGCTAGAAATTTGCGCGTGCTTTTAAGGATCAACACTGAACCAGAAATTAATTCTGCACCTGGTGTGATATGCACCTAACCGTCATGGCTGGGGCCTTATAAGTTGCAGACTTCCACAAAGCTAGATGGTGGTGGTCGCTTGCTTTACATGGCATGCCCGCTGTGACGGCCATGCGCATGGACGGCAACCTCCAATGCAGCATTGCAGTCTCTAGCTGCACAGTGGCATCATGTGGAACAGTGCTTTTGATGTTCAACCATCTATGTGCACAAAGTATACTAAGACACAAGCACAAATAAAGACGAAAGAGGCCTGATTTAAAGCACTGTGCCCGACAGTCAGCACTTGATTGTAGTAACCACTAACTCGTCACGTCGAATGAAACGCAGCGCCTGCACATACTTCTGATACAAGCTCCTATTTGATCTCTCTCATTCCCTGACAGCTATGCTCTTTGTAATTCACCTCATCACCTGTCTTTAGCAACGGCACCCAATTAAGGTGCATCTTTTCAACCTGATGCCATTTGACCTATCTCGAGATTGGGACGGCCTTCAAAGGCGCCTGCCTCTTCACCGCACTGGACTGATCTAGCACGCTTGCGATCTGTCGAGGTGACAGCAGCTTGTACTGGCCAGGCCTGCAGATCGCAGATGAGACGACTGTCAGGGCCACGGCCGGAACGTTAAGGAGATGACTTAATGCCAAAGTGCGTCTGCAGGATACAATCAAGGCTCAGACTGGCATCAATGGAATTGTTTGGAGGAACTGTGTGTGCTTCACAAAGCACCATTGACGAAGTAGCAGCAGCCTGCTCGTGCTTGCCACGATGAGACAATAGGCTAAGTCGGCTATCCACTTACAGCAGGTCGCGTGGTAGCCTGAGGCCCCCTATCCGCGTCCGCTTCAGCGAAACCACCTCCACGTCAGCGGCCTTGGCCAGCTCGCGCACCTCGTGATGCCGCCCGTCTGCCACCTGACAGACAAACGTGGCTTCCCATTAGTGCCACGTGTATGTCGACCCGACGTGGACGATCGCCGCGGGGTTCTCGACCACAGGAAACACCAGCTAAAACGGCCCGAAAACAGTTTCACTCCGAGAAGCCAACGGGGAAGGAGATAGCAAAGGAGAAGCACGAGCAAAAAACTCCTACCTCGACAAGGATGCGCCTGCCGTCCACTTGCGGCCCCGTCTCGAGCAGCGCGACCGTGAGGGGCGTCACTAGGAGGCCGTCCACCATGGTGCCCTCCGCCATGATCTGCAGCTGCTTCTTGCTCGGGACAGCCGCGGCCTGGACGATGTACCTGCCACAACAACACGAGCACACACGTCAGCCTCGGTGCTGACCCTGCAATGATCACTGCCGACAATCTGGGAAATTGACATCTGACCAAAGTGCGTCGACAACGTACTTAGCACGGGAAGGACAACTCCGAGCAGCATAAATATTCGCATCGAGGGGAGGCTCGGGGTTCGGCGTCGGTTGAGTAAGCAAACAAGATCTTCGCGAGAAGAGGCGACCTCGATATAAGTCAATCTTTACGCAGCTCCTGAAGCCTGTGCCTACTTCACAGAGTGGCGACTGAGCACTCACTCTTTGGTGACGCCGGAAGATGGGTGGGCGATGGCCTGCGCGTAGTCCCCGTCATTGGTCACGATCAGCAGGCCGGTGGTGGCAACATCTAAGCGGCCCACCGTGAACAGCCGAGGGCGGGGCATGTTGGGGTGCTTTTGCTCCTGTAGATTGGTGGAAAATGATTAGTCCGTGAATCTCAGCCCAGAATGGACGCAAAAATTGGACGTAGGTCACTTCTGTTGCCAAACAAATTCACACCAACGAGCGCCCTCAGCATGCAGTTCGCGTCTTGATCAGATCCTCAACATCGATCAATATTTATATAATAAGCAAGGCAAAGAAACGGTTTCAAGCGGCTGCTGTTCAAGCAACGTTCTATCGGAGCCAACGAACGCTGCTCAACGAAGCAGCCCATGTTCCTGAACTAGGAAGCGCGGAACATGCTTTCCAACATATGCGCGCTCTAAATGAAACGACTTGTTCGAACAAAACCCGAAGCACTTCGGCAAACGACAAGCAAATAATCGTATCCAGCGCGTTGAACGTCTCACCCAGGCCAGCATGAAGTCCTCGAACAGGTCGACGACCAGCTTCTTGCCATTCGGATCGTTGGAGCACATGTACCCCTTGGGCTTATTCAGGCAAAAGTAGAGCGACTCCACGTTCTTGGGCAGCGAGCGGCCGTCCACGTAAATCGAGTCTTTCCGGGGGTGGACCTGCGTCTGGGGGGGGGGGCGCACCACACCAGGGCGTCAATGACACTATCAGGCAGACGTGCCAGCAAGAGAGGCGAAAAGACTCTCCTCGCCAATATGAAGCACGTATGATGTGCATGGCGTCTTGAAAACAGGTCAGAAGCTTTGTTTCGAGTTCCAAATTTCCTCCAGAGAGATCATGGGCTGCAGCTCGACCAGCGACATACCCAACTGTGGACTTGCTTAGATAGATAATGGCAGGATCATAGCAGCGGTCAAACTCGTAACCGAAATCCGTAGTCCTACCTGTGGCAGTTTGACCACTTGCCCGTTCACAGTAACCCTGCCTTCAAAGATGATCTCCTCGCACTTCCTCCTTGACGCAACTGCAGGTCGCAGACAATTCAAATCAGGTTGTACTCAATAAAAAGTGGCCCTTTTCAGATGGGTTTTGCCTAAAGCCTTGTCAAGCTGTTAAGAAGCAAGATAGGGGCCCCCTGACGAACAATTCATTGTGACCGACGACCCGTTAATGAATCAGACATTCTTGCCTTGAAGAGTTTAACCTCATAGGTTGAACCCGAGCAAAACGGACTAATAGTCCACCACTCTTACGTACATGAGTTTTTAAAGGTACACGGTGAGCGGTCACGGACAGAACCCACTCAATGGGTGGCCATGTAGATGCCTGCGCTTAGCGCGTGATGGCTGCCAGCAAGTGTAATTTATAGCTTGATTTGATGCCCGGGTGGTGGCATGTCCGCAACCCAGAAAATGCCGCCCCAATCTGGCGGCGTGTTTTGAGAAGCAGACCCCATTCGACGGTGGAGCCACTCACCTCCTGCAGCAGCCATGATCTTGCTAAGGCGGTCCGGCTGCGGCCCAAACTTTTCGTTGTAAGCGCGCCTGGTGGCTTTGCTGTACTGCACCTGCTTCCCCGGCTTCACTCCTTCCGCTGTGGCAATCTGGGACAGATCGCAACACAGAGTGGCTGAGAAAAGTCTGCGAGCAACCACTCTTATATTGTACAAGAACAGTCCTCCAAGACTTATTGTGAAGCAGAGATCGCATCATTACAGCCACCATGCATGAAATGCCCGCGTCTTCCAAAACAACATATTTTTGGACGGGCCAAAAGTTTGGGTCCAAAAGCGGAAGGACCGATAAGCAGCGACCCACTGGAGGCAGACTCGGGATGCAACATCCATAAGTGATCGGGCGGTGGTGGTGGACCCCGTACGATGTACTTCAATCTGATAATATAATCAAGGCCCTTGTTGAGGAACCAGCAAGACGTCCAGATCCACTTTCATAGGAAAGAGACAGAAGCAATATCTGACATTTCTGGTAATGGTACACTCCAGACAGCAGTCTGACTGGAAGAAGCCTGCCAACCCCGCTTCAAAAAATAATTTTACATATGCGTATTGCAGAATGCAGCTCTTACCTTCTTTCCATGAAGCAATTTCTTAGCGTCCGTCCGCTTAGGCACACGCTCCTCATCTCTCCGTCTGACAGCATCTTCAGCATTCGCTGTCGCAGCCACCGCTACAATCCTTGCGGGTCTCTGACTGGAGCCTCTACTCTCTCGCACCTCAGCATCCGCCCCGAGAACCCAACCCTCTGCACGCTGACTTTGACCACTAAAAGCTCCAAAAAAGGCCTTTCTGAGCACATGATGCAACCACCCATTACTTGGTCTTGCCGTTATTGCTGACAATTGTCGACCTGCTGGACCCAACGATTGGCCAACGAGACCTAACGAGCCCCTACAAACAGGGCACCCTCGCACAACCAGCCCAGCCATTGGCCTGCCCTCTGCCCTGCCTACAAGCTAAGACTAAACCAAGAGAAGCTGCCCGGCCAGCTTGTCCGCCAGCTTGCTACGTCTCGGAGTCGTATCTGGGCCTCAGGTATCTGGTGGAAAGTTTGCATGACGCCTTGGCGGAAGGTGGATCAGTTGTTCTGGTTCAACAGTCAACTCCCATGTATCGTAAACCCATAAACTTACATATTAGGTTAACTTTCATGCCAGAGACCGACAGCCGCATTCCTAAATTCCCTCCAGCCAGTTTGAAATTGTATACGTGTGAGCTATAGTGCCAGATTGTGAACTGGTAGTCGGGGACGGCGCAAGAGTCTCGGATTCTGCTGGAAAGCGGGTTAGGCGAACCGGACCAGCTCCTGGTCCAGCTTGTCGATCTGCATCATTGCATTGCAATTTGCATACAGGCCTGCCCTTTTCTCCTACCAAATCACAATTTCCTTCTTTTGCTTGGGTCTGGAAGAATGGCGTCAAAGAGATCTTCGTATAACCAGCGTTGCGTGCTCCGTCACTTTGGCGCTATGTATCCGTTAGTTGATTCCTTGTGAAGCAGGGCTGCACCGTGCGTGAGAGGAGCTGCAAGAAGCTGGCTCTACAAGATTGGCAGAGCAGAGACCATCTGGTTGAAGGCACAGCACATCAGCCCTTGCAGATTCATCACATTCTCCAAGATGGCTCAGGAGATGGGGCCTGGGAAAACGTTCCGGACCGCGGCCTACCTAATTGCATATGTGCGCTCACCTACCTTCCTTGTTTTGGGCATGTTTGGTAGTCTCCATTTGAAGTTGGCTGTCTTACATCTGTAGCGACTTAAAACTTGTGCCTGCAGCCCGAATCAGATGCTGCATTCCAGAAGGATAAAGTTGGCTTGCAATTCTGGTTGCCTGTTCTCCTGTTAGCTGCAGACAGTCCACCAATCTTGGCATCAAGAAGGGTGTTTCCAAAGGCCCACAGACTTTCCGTGCAATCAAATGCTGCGCAGTGATGTGACAACTTTCTGGTGCACCATGCAGATTGTATTGAGTGGGGGCGTCATATTCTTCAATAAGGTGAGCAGAGCTGGCTGGGAAAGATCTCGGGTCAGCTGGCCATGCGCCGCCTACTATTGTTCCCCTCCTGCATTCCCATCGACTTCCTTATGTTCAAGCCCCCTAAAAGAGAAAGGCAGGCTTCAAACACTGAACCACCAGTAGATCCTTGTGCGGCTCTCATCTGGAAGGCAGTGCTAGCTTGCACCTGACATCATCTACTTGCTGCAATGCTGCAGTTTATCCTTTCCAAGGATTACTATAACTTCCCGTACCCAATTGGCCTTACGGTGAGTTTCGGTTGTTAAACTTTGTGCTTGCCAAGGCTATGCCAGTCTCCATCATGTCTCTTCAATGATGAACTCCTCCTCAGATCTCAGAAGATCCACCTCAGAAATCGAAATTTAGAAGTCAAGAGCAGGCAATGGAACCTCAAATGAATTTTTTTCTGGTTACACACCTATTATGTGAGATAGATTTCTAGTTCCTAAGTAAGTGGTTTCGCTCCCGGCAAACTGGAGTCATCTACTTTGACGAGCGCTCCCTTGCTAATGATAGATACATAAACGATGGTGATACTGAACGCACTTACTTTATCGATCGACCTCAGCTAAGGATTTTGCCGCTACCAGGAAGAGGCTTCTAGCCACCCGAAGCGGGTGCTTTTGCTCGCTCACGCATGTCTTTGTATTGCAGATGCTACACATGGCCTTCTCGTCTGTCCTATGTTTCCTAGTAGTGCGGGTGTTCAAGTTCGTCCCCCTACAGCAGCCCATGTCTACAGAAGTGTGAGCCTTCAAATCCACCTTAGATTAGCGTCGTAAGGAGACCACTTGTACTACAATCTGGGCCATGTGGCTTCAAGGGTCTTGTTCGGACTACCGGTTGAATCGTGAACCAAAATTGTCGTACCTTGGCATCTTCTAAGTTTGCAGATTGAAGATCTCTCATGATCACTTGGACCTTACCGCTCTATGTTAAGCTGCTGGCGTCTGGACTTGACTGTCCAGGCTGTATTGCACAAAGCGCTTGTCCGGCAGGGTGTTAACTTCAAGGTTCTTGTGCTTAACTCTCTTCTGCTCTGTGTGGCAGGTACGTGCAGAGCTTTGTCCCGATCGCGCTGCTCTTTGCCACAACATTGTGGCTGGGCAACACCGCGTTCATGTTCATATCCGTCGCTTTCTCCCAGATGCTCAAGGCGCTCAGTAAGTCACAACTTGATAAAATAACAGCTCAAAAGTTGAACATCTTGAATGAAAGGTCAATGTGATGTTCGTTGGGCGAGTGTTCCCCATTGTGGCCGGAGCAGACGTCGCGCTGATCTAGAGGGGACAATTTTGAAAAGCACGCTTGGTTTTTGTTGAAAGAAGGCTGGCCAACTCTTCCTGTGGACCAGTATCACTTGTCGAAGAGATCATGTTGCTCGTCAGTCGTTTTCTCACTTCTCCGCTCATTATGCAAACTCTGTGCGTGTGGTGTGCAGTGCCTGTGGCGGTGTTTCTGGTGGGGGTGGCCTTCAAGGTGGACGTTCTCCGGCTGGACACACTGCTCAACATGGCAGGCAAGTGCCGGTGCCGTGCTCTGAGAACCACTTCGTGCTTCATCCTTGATATCGAAAGTCGGGTGACATTTTACATTCGGGTGACATATCTCGTTTTTGTGAATAGCATTCCCTTACGATTGGCTGATCTGACGTCGAAGAGGCAAGTTCAATGGCCGCTGAGCACGTATCCAAGACCGATCTGAGTTTCAACGGGCAATCCGGATTCAGATGCCAGGCACTCGGTAAAACGAACTATTTCTACAGTTCTGCTTGATTTGAGCACGCAAAAGCTGCAAAGAAGACTTAGATGAGGTGGTGCAATCTCGCAGCAGAAACACCACGTTGCAAAACCTGCCTGAGGTACAAGACAAGCGTTCTGAGCGCCTTTGGAGGATCGGTTCTCAATTTACATTTCAGTCCGCCGATCCCTGCCCTTCTCATGAACGTTCCCACCACTTCATCTGCAAACGAGACCCCCACACTAGCGCGACCTGGTTCTGCTTCTGAGCATACGTGGCCCGTGCAGCGGGCGCAGTGATATTGATCTAAAGAAAGATGACCCAAAGACTACGACACGACAATTGCACTAGGACGAACAGAGTTAGCTTGTGGAATCGGGTGGGTAGGGGTGTGAAGCAGGTAGTGGGTAGGGGTGTGGAGCAGGTACTTCCTTCGTCTTGGAGATTCAGTGAGACTTACCGTTTGAAGCTTGTCATCGTGGCTTCTCATTTTGCCTGCGGATGTTGGCAGTGATCAGCGGGGGCGTGCTGGTGGCGAGCTACGGCGAGATCCAGTTCGACGTGGTGGGCCTGGTGTACCAGGTGGGCAGCGTCGTCAGCGAGGCGCTGCGCCTGGTGCTGACGCAGATCCTGCTGCAGCGCAAGGGCATCAAGATGGACCCCATCACCATCATGTACTACATGAGCCCCTGCAGGTAAGCGCCCGCCGCGCCGCTCCCTCACCTGTGGTCCTTCAATATATCATCTGAATGCAAGCCACTTTCGAGAAGGGCGTGGGGACGTTCTGACGCTGATTAAGGGGACGCTTTCCAACCCCTCGTAGACCTGATCCGTGTAAAGATCTGCGCAACATTATGCACGAAGCAATCCGCTCGAGCCTTTGATCCCGCGTGTTTGCTTGTCACGAGGTCGGCATGCAAAGACCCACGGCACGTGCTCCTGCGAGACGTTGGCGAAAAAAAAGAGATTTGAGCTTCGACCATCGAGATGCTCTAATTGTTGAAGGTTACGTTGGCTCAAACTCCGGTTTCTCAAAAGGCTGACAGCAGCGGGTCTCCTTGCTTATGACACCTGGAGGGGCAGGTCAGCGGGAGATGAAGCGCGAAGCCGCCTTTTGGCGTCTACCATACCGGATTATTGTAGCACGTTTTGTTGTCGATGTTCACAAACATCTCTTGAGAATCTGATGCGGTCGCCTCTCCTAAACCCGTCCCACGCACCTCGAATCAATCCCGCCCCCCTGACTTAGCCTCTGTGCTTCTTCTTCGCAGCCTGCTGTCACTCTTTGTGCCGTGGCTGTTTTTGGAGCGCCCCGCAATGATGGCCACCCGCGGCCACGTGCTGCTGAGCCCCGGCGTGATGGTGGCCAACTCGGTGGCCACGTTTGCGCTGAACGTGTCGGTGTTCCTGGCCATCCAGAACACGAGCGCGCTCACCATCCGCGTCGCCAGCGTCGTCAAGGACTGGCTCGTCGTCTTCATCTCCGCCGTGCTCTTCGCGGACACCATCCTCACGCCGCTCAACATCGTGGGCTACGCCATCGGTGCGCCCGCGGCACCCTGCCTAGCTTTTTGCCTCCAAACATTTCCGAGCGCTGTGCCTTGGCCGTGTCTGACCCTTGTCTTCTCGCAGGCTGAATCGACCTGAGCGTGTCGTCCTTTCTTTGCTCCACAACCATTCGCATCGGGCGCTCTCTGTGCTCCTGCCAGTACTGGTAAAAGCCGAGCCCGATTGATGCAAAGAGACGGTCATTCAAGCGTGGAGGAGCGCAAACCGTCCTTTTAAACGGTCTGCGTCTTGAATCCACTTGTCGATGTCCTTTGGCGCAGCCATTGCCGGCGTGGTGTACTACAACCGGAGTCGCATGCTGGAGGCGCAGCAGGAGTCGGCCCGGGAAGCAGCCAAGGAGGCCAGCGGGCCCGGGCCGCCCAGCAACCTGCGCAGCCCCGCGGGGGCGCGGAAGGTGGGCTCCCACACCACACTGCATGGATGAGTCCGCTGCGGGCACATGTAAAACTTGGCCGGGACTAAGAAGTCCTGAGAATCGGAACTCGCCTTGCGAGATTCCCACCCGTTGCCACTGCAAATTCGAAACTCGCATGACAAGTTCAAGCGGCATGGTAGGTGGGTCCCAGGGCCGTCGGATATCCCAGCCACGGGTTTGTGCGACATAAGCTGCAAAACTTGACCGGAAAATCTTCGTGTGGGGAGCGCTCCCGGTTGGAGGCAGCGTGAGGGAAGAGGGACCGTGACCCTTGGTTGAAAGATTTCGAAGGTCACGGCTCGCTGGTGCTTTCTGGCACGTCTGGCGGAAGATCGAGCCCCCGGAGTCGTCATCGCAGCGGACCTGCTCTGCTTGCACGAGTCACAGTCCGACTCGGCAGACTTGAGAGCGGCAGGTTGGACTGGAATAATGGACTCCGATTCTGACTGCGTCGCGTGGTGGGCGGTGCAGCACGTCCCGGGGGACGACGAGGTGCAGCTATTGGAGGAAGCCCGGCGGATGGAGGACCCCGGGGACAAGAGCTGACACCAGGCCATGCGGAAGCTGCGCGCTGCGCTCTCAGTGTCAGTACGCCAACTGCACGGGAGCAAGCCGCACAAGTCGGGGCGAGATCGGGTCTCCCTCCGAGCCAGCATCTGTAACCATAGACTAAGGTAAGGCGGTGTTCGGCATCCGCCCTTTCGCTGTAGTACAGTCTAGTTTGACTGCTTAAGTAACCGACCATCAGCGTATTGCGTAGGAATGCTCGTGGAGCAAGCGAGCGCAGGATAAGGTGGACCGATTTCCAGGAGTCCCGGCCTGTAAGATTGGGAATCTCGTGTTTCCTAGACAAGGCGTTGAAGAATATTCCGATATTTCGTACTGTAAGAACTGCAAGCTCGAAGGTTTTGAAAGCCGCCAAGGCGGAAGCACCAGTTTGCAAACTCAAGTCCGATGTTCTGGTTCGCTACAACATGGAGCGTCACCAGCATGTCTCTATGCATTTAACGTCAACAAATCTAGCTAGGCATGCCCGATACATATGCGCGTTTCAAGACCGCTGCCCATCATGCATCCATATCGTACAACTACTGAAATGTTGACTTCAGGATGCCCCGGCCAATATAGTCGCAACTGCCCAACTTAAGAACTCCGTTGGATTCTGCAACATCATCGCCGCCTTCAATTGAAAAGAAGGCCGGGCTGATTTTTTCGCATCATTAGTGCATATGAGCTTGTTAGCTTGCATGGCCGATATAAATTCATCCATATACGTCTACAGCATGCCCGTATATATGGCTAGCTAGCGCGGCCCTCAATAACCATGCTGCATGGTTTTCGATGATCTGGTACACGCTCATGTCATCCCTGATACATGCAGTAGACGCGGCTGCGATTTCGGTACCTGCAATGTACTATAATACCATGCGATTGCTCGACCACGATCGAGCTCTAGGCTCAGGTCCAGCTCACATAAGAGTTGATCAATGGATACATAACATGACTGCATGCTGGCAATGATGGGCATGGTAATGACCGTGTAACCGATGCCAGTGCATGGAATATATACGCGCGTGAGTCTGCCAAAATTTGGACTAGTAATTCACACAGTGCCGATCAAATTCCTGCCACATGGCGCACATATGCATATAAGCTCAAGTTGCCGCACTAAACTACGACCTACATCGGTGATTGGATGTGCTCTAAGCTCCCGTTCACACCCCCGCAAATGCCAACGTCACTGACTCAGTGACCGACGCGTTTTTAGGGATGTGGACCATCATTGAAAATTGAGACTCAGTGGACAGTTGCGTAGAACAATGAATACCAGCTCGCGGTCTCGACCAAGCACGAGCCGGTCTATCTTGTGCCGGGGTCGATCACAACATGGCAAACTCACACAGCGGCACTTCCTATACGAAGCCGTGACAAAAACTAACTAGCAGTTTCCCTTACTGCCTGGACCGTGGCATCGATCCAAAGCAGTCAAAAACGATGTTGATTTTGCAAGCCCCTAGTGCTTTTAACAACAACTTAGAGGTCAGCCCAACATTAATACTATGTTACTCTATGTCCACTTTATCAATCTGGACGGCTTATCGTTCCATTCTCCTACACGCATCACGATCTTGCTTCGGTCCAGACCTGCAAATATTCGACAATATTGTTACATCGGGAGCGTTTTTCACGTTTCGTTTGCCCTTGGAACCAACAAGCGCTTGCAGGTTTCGTACTTCGACTTTTTGAGATGCACTCAAACTTTGGCACCGTCCAAAAGGAAGCTCTTTTCCTTGACATATTCAAAAATCGAAGGGATCATTTGCCAATTTGCCAAGAAGCTCAGTGCCCCGTCCTGTTCCTACAGACTGGTCCGCTTCTCAAAAGCCTGCCCACATTCGTGTACCCTTCAAAGCCTCCCCCTCACCTTGATCGCCGTATCGAGATGCGCACTGAACAGCCGCCCCCTCGCTGCCACCAGAGAGTGGACCACCGCCAGCGGTCCTCCCTCCACGTGGATGCTCGCAAGGGGGGCCTCGTTTCCAAATGGCGCGTCGGCCCGCCACACGTGGATGACGCCATCCCAGCTGCCCGTGTATAGGAACGGCCCCCACGTGCACATGGTGGCCACCACGCCGCCGTGCGCGCGCCGCTGCTCGCTCTCGGGCTGGCCCTCCACCCACGCCTGAGGGAGAGGTGACAAAGCAGGGATGAGGGGACCGTTCACGAAAAAGGGACGAGGAACCGACACAAAAGGGGGACACCTGCTGGCATAGCAACGCGCCAGAAAAAAGCGCCAGGGGAACAGTTATATCGAGACCCTCGACATTCACTATTTCTCTTCCTCTGATCCCTTTTCTCTTGAGGTTCAACATAGGTTATAATTGATTTGACCGAAGAGAATCCAACGGCTGCGACTTGTACATTTAATTGTTCTCCAGCTTCACTCCCGGCCCGATACCCTTCCTTCAAGACTCACCATCAAGGAGATCACCAAAGCAAACAGATAATCCTCTCGCAGCTTTCCCAACACTTCTTCGCATTCAGGAACGCTGCAGGGAATGATAACAGGCGCTAAGTCTAAGTGTGTGGCGCACCTGCAGCGTGCCGTCGTCCCTGCCCGCCACCAGCCTGGGCCCCACCATGGAGAGGCAGCGCACGCCGGGCCCTGGCCCTGCCTGGACCACAGCCACGGGGGTGTGGTCCTCGCGCCACCACCCACGCACAGACCCGTCCCAACTCCCGCTGCAACCAGAGGGGGGGGTGTCAACCTCAGAAGCAAATATCCCGTCCCTTCCAGACGTCAACTTAACTAGAAGGGAGTGAGTGTACTCAGTGCCTGAACAATAACTTGATCCCCACCACTGCAAGTCTGAAGCAAGGTCCCAAAGCCAATTCAAATATCTAAATTTGAGCAGTTACCAGCTCAACCAAATTCTTGATGGCCAAACAAAGGGTACAAGCTCGAAACTCTTGGGGACTGACCAAGGGGACTAGCCAGAAAGCAACACACTACAACCAATCTCCCAAACGTATTAGCCAAAGGGAGTAAAGTGTTTACGGTGCCTGAATGATAGCTTCATCCCGACACTAAGAGATTTTGAGCAAGATCTCAGATCCAGTTGAGTACCCAAAACCTAGGCAGTTACCAGGTCACCCAGCTTTATCAATGGGCAGACAAAAGGTACAAGTCGGACCTCTTGGGACCTGGCCAAAAAGTGACACACGAGCAGTCTCTCAAAACGGAGAACCAAAGCCGCGCTCACACCCGCACATCCGCCCCCTTTGTGCCTCACCTGTACAGCAACTCCCCGTCCACTGCCAGCGCTGACACAGGCCCCGTATGGCCCTCCAGCACCCCCAGCAAGCCCCCCAGCGGCACCCCGCCCGCCCCCAGGCTCCATGCGCGGATGGTGCGGTCTCCCGCCCCGCTGTACAGCACTTTCCCCTCTGCTACTGCCAGCGCCAGCACACCAAAGTACTTCCAGTCCACGTGCGCATCCCAGGACGCCAGCAACTTCCCTGGCCCAGGGCACGGCTCTCCGGGTGACACGCCCGGCTTGTCCTCGCCCTCGGGGGACTCTCCCGGGCCGCGCACAACGCTCGTGTCCCGGATGACGGACCACACCTTGATCTGGCCCCCGTAGTCTGCGCTCACCAGCAGATCCGCCCCGCGCGGAATGCCCGCTACCACGTCTGGCCCACCAACGTAGTTATCGATGATCCTGCCGTTGCCGCAGATGATGCCATCCTCATCCACGCCGGCCGACTCCTCCGGCAGCAGAGACACAGTGGCGAGCGCCATGATGCGGTGCTGGTGCCCCTGGAGCACGCCGTGCGGGGCACCGTCGGCCAGGGACCACACGCGCACCGTGCGGTCAAACGACGCACTGCACAGCCACTGGTCGGCCACCACGGCGAGCGCTGAGACGCTGTCCTGGTGCCCGCAGATCATGCCGTGGAGCCCCGTCAGCGGTCGTGACTGCGCTCCCTCTGGTGCCGAAGCTGCTTCGGGATCTTCCCCGTTTTGATCAACGGCCGCAACTGAGGCCCCCGACTGGGGCACCTGCGGAATTTCCAGAGGGGGAGGGGCTCTCCTTGCAGGCGAAGTTTGCAACTCCGCAATCTCATCTTGCCCGACTCTGGCCTCCGCAGTCTCCGGCTCGTCACTGCCCAGAGCCTGCTGTTCCCTCCCTGCCTCAAACGCACTCCTCAGCGTATCGACGGAGGGCGCGGTCGACGGCACCGCCAGTTCAGGGCCCTCCCGGGCGCTCTGGAAGAGCTCAGATCCGGAGCCTCCGCTTGGCGACAGCGAGGTGCTGTCTGCGTCTGTCTGGATCTCTTCGCTCTCTTCCCTTTCCGGCACTGCTTCCTCTTGACCGCTGCCGGACGGCTCCGATCGCGCCCCCTGGTTAGAATCGGTCCCTGGGGTGCCCTCGCCCAACTCGTTTACACTGTTCTGCAAAGCCCCGGTATCAGCCCCATTTTGGGACATAATCTCTCTTGCCCAGTTTACCTTGCGCTCCAGGTCCGCCTTCCTCGCCTTAGCACTGCCATCATTCCCCTCCAGCTTGCTAATGATCCTCAGCAGTTCAATGTTCTTGGCCAGGCCCCGTGCGCCCTTGGCCGGCACCTTGGTGCGCTGATTGCACTCGGGGCACTTGACAACGCCAAACCTCGCTCCCACGATCTTCCCTAGGCCTTCGGGCGGAATGCTGGGAAGCCCCGAGCCTTGAGGAGTGTCCTGAGGAGCGGAATCACCCCTGCCAAACCCCACGTATGCATCCCCCCCGGCAGGACTGTAGTTTGAATCAATGAGCAGGTCCGCACAATCCTGAGAGATGGAGTGCCTGAAGAAGCAAGACATACGTTTAAAGATGCTACTGGCATGCTCCAAGGGTATGGCGCTTTCCTACTTGTTTCAAGATGGCTTTCCAACGCAGCTCCATAGTTCTCCTTGCAATTAGGGTTTTGATCGACAACCGCAGTCAAGACAGCAATACATGCAGATTTGTGCAGCTTTCCAAGGCTTGACGCAAGCCCATCTCTGGATTCAGCCTCCAGAAGCAGTCAAAGCTACGTTCTGCTGCCAAATAGCCCCTAGGAATGCCTCAATCACAGCCAAACTTCAGTTTCCATAGCTGCATTTACAAAGTCGGCTGCTGACTTACCCGCAGGAAAGCAATCGAGGAATCCTTCCCCCATCATCGTACGGGAGCAAGCAAACAGCGCATTCCGGTCTGAGGCTTTCAATCAGCTCCTCTCTTATTGAATCCGTGGCAGAGCCCATCGCTGAAACCCCAAGAAGCTGCTCATTCACAGGCGCAATGCTGCACACAAGTGCTGTAGAAGAGACGTAAGCTGTCGCTGGCGGGCTTCCTCATCCTTCGTCGAGCTTCTTCTTACGAATCTTAGAAGTACCTAGCTTCAGAACATGTTTTGTGCTTCAGAAACATGATGTCAACGTCGATGTTGATTGGCGCGTCTGGCGCCCTCAGAGTCAAGGCTCAACAACTTGAACAAGTTCGTTCATGGTAGTGTTCGGACTGATTCTGGTTCTTCGCGAGCTAGCTGGCTGGTTATGAGAACACAGGAACTATAGGGGGTTAATGCCACTCGGGACCGTACCCCGAGCTTGCTCAGCCTTTCTGCGACTGCAAAGACCGGGACTTCCTGCGACTGGCATCTGAAGGGAAGTGCAGCCGATTGTTGACTTCCGGGGATCGGTAGTTTTAACAGGTATTGTTAACCCAGAACAATCCCATGAGCTGTAGATCAGCACTCTGCTCATTCGATCGAGCCTGCTCAGCGTCAGACTCGGACTGAAGACTGGAGCTCTGTGCCACCATGCATACCTGAAACAAACTCCCTTTAGTAGATTGTGGCAGAGCCAGTCAAGCGCCATCGACCCTGAGACGCATTCGTCGTTTCAGGTGGATAAAGCAGCTTGGAGGAGTTGGTGAGCAAGCGGTTCCACTTGGTGGGGCTTCAGAAGTCATTGCCCTCTGCATCGCCAACTGGCTTCTATTGTTGCGACAAACTTCGCGGTTTGACACAGCAATGTGACCCGTTTGAAAGAATCTGTCCTTGTGTGGAAGTGTGCAGACTGGATTCCTCATGCTCTTACGAGGTTTTGTTGAAGCATTTCAAGCGCCATCAGCCTTTTTTGCTGCTGCTTGGATATCGGCTAGCTCTGTGGAGATGTGGCATTGCACCTTTTTGGAAAATCTGCACTTTGGTTTTATCCTCGGAGCGCATAACAAAATTTGGAATTTTGTGAGCAGCATTTGCCAGAGGCCTGCTCTTGTCTCTTTTTGTCTCTCTGCTAATGCAGGCATCGATAATGTAAAGCCCCCTGAGGTCGTTCTCTCTTGCATTGCATTTTCGTGTGTGGCGGCTTGACTCTGTTTTTGGGGGTTTCACCAAAGTTGGTGGTGGTAGAGTTTGTATGCAGCTGTAAGAGTAAGAACTAGGCTTCACCTGGAGAAGGACAATTAGCTTCTTGAGGACTGGCAATCAACATGTGCAGTACCGCTGCAACCATAAAGCTGTTGCAACTCGCAGTGCTGCTTGGCAAGCTGAGCCGTACGTGGCGTCTGCAGGCACGATGGCGTCCGCCACCTTGAGGACGTGCACTGGAGTGGCCGGCTTGGGTGCAGTGGCCTCTTCAGCGAGGACGTCTCCAGTGACTGGAAGCTTGTCGGCCCTGCCTCTGCTTCCAGAGAGGCATACGAGGGAGTCCACATTTGTTGGGAAGAGCATACCACTCTGCAAAATTCTTCCGAGCAAGTCTCGAAAAGGTGAGGACGCCCTTGCTGGGGGTGTCTACTGGGTTTGTTCAGTGTGGCTGAGCGCATGAGGACAGGCAGCGTCTCACATTTTCCTGCTTTTCCGTGTCCTGATGTTGATTGTGGTGGTGAAAGGACGGGTTAAAGTGAATCACCTGCTGCCTGCTTGGTTGCCTTTCCTAGCCCCATTATGCTGTAGAGGACTACACCTGGATGCCTAGGACGGTAGATTCTGCTCACCTACGGATACAGTTTGGCAGGGCTACTGAATTCAGGACTCTTATTGCAGCGGTGAGAGTTGACTCAAAAACCTTGTCGCCTGTTGGTCGTGCAGCCAGGCAAATAAGAGCCGAAGCAAAGCCAGAGACAGGCACCAAGGAATGTGAGCTTCCACTTGTTCCATCATGGAACACTTTCCATATCCTGCTGGAACAAAACTTGGAGAAACTTGAGAATCTGGGAAACTTGGAGAAGCTGGAGAAACTTGAGAATCTGGAGAAACTTGGAGAAGTTGGAGAAACTTGAGAAGTTGGAGAAACTTGGAGAATTTAGAGAAACTTCACGAGCCAGCTTGCGAAATTGCTTGGATGTCAGATCTATGGCTCAGGGCTTGCCCGTCATCTTGCGCCGCTACTGCTCAAATACCACCAATGCATCAGGTTTTCCCCGTGCTTTTTCCTTCAATCGACACGTCAGCTGTGAAGACCTTCGATCTTGGGGTTTAACATTGTCTGAAATATCCCCTAGTAAGTCACTAAGTTCCGCGTGCTTTGTAATGCATGATTCAGTCGTTAGATGTTCTGCTGTTTGCCTGCAGCCCGTTCCGTTCCTGATGTTGCTCCTGTCAAGGAGGCTGTTGAGGACGGGAAGTCGGCATTGAACCAGCTTCTCGGCATCCGCGGGGCGGGCCAATCCGCAGTGAGTGGACCAGACAGACGACTGCAACTATGTCCCTCTGTTCTGTGCGGCACATACCCTTTCTTCACACCCAATGCAGACTGGATTATTCCGTTTGACAATTGTCCGTCCAGTGACATGTTGGGGCGTTTCGGCGCCTTTAGTGGGGAAGGGTTTCTGTCACCGTTTGACTGAATGTCCGTGTCCATTTCTTTGTTGTGCAGGATATCTGGAAGATTCGGCTACAGTTGACGAAACCCGTGACCTGGGTCCCTCTTATCTGGGGAGTGCTGTGCGGAGCTGCAGCATCAGGTGAGTTGTCTCTCCAAGTTGAGCTCGGTCAGGCTGGGCAACCCCTTGAGATGCAGAAACCCGTTTGGGAGAGGACGAATCAAGATGACGCTAAGCAACCGTCTATTTGACATCTGGGCTTGCCATTCTTGTTGCCGCTCGTGGCTCGGAGCGGACCGTTTTGTCACTGTTGCCGTACGAGGTATGCAATCCGGTTTGAAACTTTGGACCACAGGTACGCATGAACGATGTCATGAGACAGGAGAGCCTTCCTCTCTTGGCACCCCGGCGATATGCGTTGTGTTGCTTTCTAAACCATTTCTGCTGGCGGCCGTGCAGGCAACTTTGAATGGACTCCAGAGGACGTGGCGAAGTCGGTAGTGACGATGTTCCTCTCGGGGCCGCTGCTGACAGGCTACACGCAGGTCAGCACACCCGACAAAGCAGCACTTCATTTGCGGCACATTCTCCAAACACGAAAAGTCGTCTGTCAACCTCGTCCAGTTTTGTGCTTTCTTTGTGGAACGATTTGGGAGCTCAAAGGAACGCTTTTCTAGAAGTTCGTTTCGGATCGGCAAAGCTCTGCTAAAGAGCTTTCCTCAGTCTACTTGGTATATCTGTATGTTTCCACAGACCCCGAGAGTACTTCGACCCAAGTACATTCACTGACTAACGAGCCATTGCGTTCTTTCCCAGACCATCAACGACTGGTACGATAGAGAAATCGATGCAATCAACGAGCCCTACCGACCTATCCCGTCCGGCGCCATCCCTGAGTCGGACGTAAGCATGCTTCTCCACTCCTGGAGCATTTGCGCCTGCTGTTTCTTTAGCAAGTCATACAGTTGTGTGACGTGCCTTCTTCTAGATGACGGTGTCAATGAATGTGTTTGTCAGTGAATTGCTTACAACTCCGTCGCCCTGAGGACTCGTCATTGTTGTGTGGACATGATATCTGGTCTGCGTCTTTAGGACAGCCGCAAACCGTCTATGGACGCAGCGAAACTTGACTCCCGTCGTGTGCTGTTGTCTGTGTCGCTCAGACCATCCCCTCTTTGACACTGTTGCAGGTCATTGCTCAAATCTGGGTACTTCTTCTAGGTGGCCTCGCCGTTGCATACGGCCTGGATGTCTGGGTAAGGCATGCGAGAGTGTCAATTGCTGCAACCCCTGCTTTTCGGTTATACGATTTCCTCAAATCGCGGGTGTCAGCTCCTAGAACGGCTACCTGCGAGAGTCAATCTGATAAGTGGCACGTGTAAAAAGAGTCATTCTAGAAAGGCCGTAGGAGGATCAAACGAAAACGTCGCCGCCAGCAGTCAGTTTATCGAGGCCCTTGCCGGCGATACGGGTTGTCCGTCGGGGCAGCAGCAGACTCTCATCGCTTCATCCGTTCTAGCCCTCGTGCATTTCGTGACGCTGACGCTGCTCTTGTCCCGCTGCTGCCGCAGGCGGGCCACGAGTTCCCTATTGTGCTCGCGCTCTCTGCCGGCGGCTCCTTCTTGTCGTACATCTACAGCGCACCACCCCTGAAGTTGAAGCAGAGCGGCTGGATCGGCAACTACGCGCTGGGGTCTTCGTACATTTCGCTTCCCTGGTGGGCGGGCCAGGCCGTCTTTGGCAGCATTACTCCGGACGTGGTCGTGCTCACGCTGCTCTACAGCATCGCGGGGCTGGGCATCGCCATCGTCAACGACTTCAAGAGCATCGAGGGCGACCGCGCCATGGGCCTCAACTCGTTGCCGGTCGCCTTCGGCGTGGACACCGCCAAGTGGATCTGCGTCGCCTCGATCGACGCGACGCAGCTGTCGGTGGCGGCGTACCTGGCGGCGACGGGGCAGACGACGTACGCGGCGGTGCTGCTGGGGCTCATCCTGCCGCAGATCTTCTTTCAGTACAAGTACTTCATCCCGGACCCGATCAAGAACGACGTCAAGTACCAGGTCAGCGCTTCTACTATCGCGATTGTTTCTTTCTTGTGACAGCGTGTGACGTCATCTCGGTGCACAAAGAGTGTCAAATCATCGCAAGCACTTGGCCCCACAGAATTGCGTGGCCAGCCCGTACCCGGTTGGTAAGAAAGGGAAGGCAGGCGTGGAATGAGAATGTTCGACAACGTATGTTATGATGCTTATGCATTTAAATTTCCTGCAAGGAGACGTTCTTACACACAATTTACTGCTTGCAGGCGAGCGCACAGCCCTTCCTAGTTTTCGGACTTTTGACAACAGCCCTAGCAATTGGTCATCGATAGGACAGCTGCACGAATATGTCGACCAAAGCAACGCAATAAAGGGCAAGGATTTTATGAGGAGCAGACTATATTGACGGAAGCCAGATAAGAAAAAAGCTGAAACTGTGCGTTATGTGCGTCGCTACTTTGTAACGCAAATACCACCCAGTCGGATGGAGGCCGGACCTGAAACTTGAGTTGGTCAGTCAGGTGGCATATGGCAGACGGGCGGCATATCCCCATGCATTGGTTCGGTCGGAGCATGAGTCGTCAAGCTGCCGCATATATATTGCATTCAGCGTGCATTGGCCTGATGTTGGCACAATCAAGTATCTACGCATGTGCCTGCCAGCGCAAAATCAGGCTACAAACGCGCGGCGCAGCTACGGCGATCTGATCCTAGCTGTGCATGATCCATGTAAAGATAGCCCGGTACGTAATATATAGACTGCACGATATATCTACCTCCGAAATTTCAAATGAAAAGTTGGCTACTATAGCATGATTTGAGGCCGTTATATATTTGGTTCTCCATAAGTATATAATATTCAAGCTAATCATATGTTGGCCTAGCTTATGCATGTTGGCCCACGGTCGGTGCTATCATCATTGCATGTTCGATCAAGAATAATAAGTCACATGTCAGGCAACTAGTAAACGCCGGAGAATGTATGTCATCCATTCATAAGTGATCAGATGGATTCGATTGAACTTGATGACCTCGCTGAGGCTTAGTATCTGCATGATAGCAACCCAACCAGGTCCGGATCGCTTATTGGCCTTCATTGCACCCCGATCCTAAGATATAGTATGCACCGAAGGCTGTTGTTCTGGGGTGAGGCACATGCCTTAAGAATCTGAGCTGATAGATACGCACAAAGTCAATGCGAATGCTCAGCGAGCCAGCGAACCTCTAGATTGTCTCAATATGTGGTGCCTGTACCGTGAAGGTTTTGTGAAACGGAGAAAATCAGCACCATGGAAACCTGTTGATAGCCACAAGTATGCCCGAAGCTGATCTCGTGCTATCCGTGCTCGTGTTTCTGACTTGACGAGTTTCGAATCTGCGTTGGCACTGCAAGGAAGACTGGGAAAACCAAACAACTTGTATGAGTCTTGGGAAGTTGTGTATACGCTTTTGCAATAGGGGTGAACTACGCTCTTCACAGAACTTCAACTTAGAACCAGGAGGACAAGTTGCAAGCTAACAGTCTCAAATCTGAGGCTCTAATGAACTGGCCATGCTCCTTGCTCCTTGAGCTCGGCAGACTTTTCACCAACAATTCTCTCTTTCGACCTTTGAACCACAAACTGTTCTTCTTGACCCTTGGACATATCGGACTCCCATAATCACCGGTATGATTATGAGATAGACTATGACTCACAGTTGACCAAACAATGGTATCGAACTCAAAGGCAGTCCTCTGTAAACTTCAAGAAAGTATCCCGGGGCTAAGAAAGTCTCAAGATCCAATTAAGGATCGTATTTGAAAAGCATGGTCGATCAGAGGGGAGATGTATGCAAGCAAGCGCTTTGCAAGCTTACCTGAGGCATGAGTGAGCGACACCATGGCCAGCAAGGAGGATACGAGCCACAGCATGAGCTCGTGGCATGTGGTAGTCTGAGGTGACAAGCCACAGATGGCTGCTGAAAGGAGCATCAAAATGACCTTGTCAAAGTAAACGTCACAAGACCCTTCCCCCTACCCTCAACAAGAGACTTCCTTCTACAAAGAAACTGTCAGGGGGCTTCACAAACTTGACCAGTGTACTTCCAACAAGAACAGCATGACGCTATAGGAAAAGAAAGCTTATCTCACTTCTCACATTTTCCTTCTTCGGAAGTCACCAAGAAGACTCGTGAAGTTCGTCACCGTGTCGAGCGCTCTGTCATCGATGATCAACTGAGGCGGCACCACCCCCCATCGAGTCATTACATCAAGGATGTCCTCGTGTGCGGAGCTCACATAGACAGGCCAGCACAGCGGTGTCTGTTCTAAGAGCTTGCCAAACATGCAGGCTGCCAAGGCCTCCCTCTCCCTGTCACCACCTGCCACAGAAGGTTAGGAGGCCGTCATGTCCTCTTAAATCCAAATCTGAAAATTGAAGTCTGCCAGCTTATCTTGGCAGCAGGAGGGTACTGATCCAGAAAACCGAAAGAAGAGAAGCACGATCTTTCTTCTGCTAACATTTATGATAGCAAGCTGCAAAAACGGCTTGCTCACCCAGAAGTAGGAAAGCTTGTGGAGTGTCCCAATCCCGCGCTGATTGGGCCTCCATCGAAGTTGTGTTCCAACGCCACCACGCACGGAGGCCAGCAACAGCAACAGCCAGAGCTGGAACAAATAACCACATCGCTCCTCACCATCGTCATCTTACGTACTTATGGTGCGCTTTGAATGAGAAAAAGCTGCTTTTGCACCTGACACTGGCGCTCCACCATTTTTGAGTGAGGCAGATGTACTTTACTTCGAAGAAACGGCGAGGTTGACATGTCGTGCATTTGCGAGGGAGAGCTTAAAGTTAAACGCTGACGCTGATCACAGAGTCAGAGTCAAGTCTTTAGAGACTACCGTGTTGACAGCGTAGAGCAGGTAGACTGAGAGTAGACTCGAAAAGACCCCAGGTACGAATCTACCTGTGGCAGAGCATTTAAAACGCTGGCAGTGGTGGTCCCACCTTGACCTTGCTGATCGAGGCGCCATGTGACGGTGCTATGGCGCACCTTGAAACAGCATTCTTCAGCACATTGATATGAGCAGGCGGTTGTTAGAACCTCAATGGCGTGGGGCTATGGCGGACAGGTCCTGAGCGCCGAGGATAGCGGAGGTTCCACAGTGGCCGGGTTCCCACCTGCTTATGCCACTGGAAGCTTGACGCCAATTGCTGGTTGCCCAAACATGCGCTACCTTGGAACCATGAGCAATGCAGGGCCACACTGCAGTAGTCCTGATTTGTGCTCGCCAGACAGGTATTACGAAGATCATAATGCACGCTGTAACGCAGAGCTGCAAAGTACGGCACAGGATCTCGAGCCCGTCTCCGATTCCTTCCTAGGAGTGTCTAGGAAGGAAGCTGTCTTAGGCACTGCCAACCCGCTGTTTGACCAGAGCCGCTCGCCAAGCGAAATTGACCTGCATTCGGGCGGTGCCAGGTTGGTAGAAGGTGCAAGGCCAAGGAGCTCCGGCAGCCTAAGTCCGTCCTCATACACTGAGGGACTCTTCGGCGTGAGAAGGCCCCCTCGCTCACCACTGAGGGGATTCATGACCGCCAGGCAGATATTCAGTACTCCTGAGAGAGACCGTTCTGACGAAACAGATGACCTTTGTCAGTTTGCTAGCCCTTGGCAAGGAGATAGCGGAAGGGATGGGACACCCGGCGGTGCACGGGATTTTAGCGGTTGCGTCCAGGAAAGACAAGCTACTCTGGGTTTGAGCTTCTGGGAACGCATTGAGCTAGCGAAGAGTGGAAAGTTTGATAACAAAGTTCAGGGAGAGACGGACGCAAAAGGGGGGGCACTTCCAATTCCTTTTGGTTCTCTGGAGGCTAGCTTCCAAACACCATCTGGCGACAGTTTGCCACTGGCGGAGCCCTTTGAGCCACCGGCTGCAGAGGAGCAAGCCTTAAAAACGGCAGGCAGTGGGCTGAGTTCGTTGACAGCAGTGGCGGGAGTGAGTGAGTTGCAGCAGTTTTCAGAAAGACTGAGGGCCGAGGCGGCAGCAATGGATGACATGACGAGCACTGAGTTGGCCGGAGCTGCGGGGATTGGACGGTACAGGTTGAGTGAAGGTGGTCACCTGGTGGGGCAGGCTGGTGCCACATCTGGTGGTAAGAGCGAGGCTGCGTGGACGACGACGCTTGCAAAACAGGGGGCAAGGACATCAGAGTGGGGGAACGAGGATGTTGAGGCGCCAGGGGGACATCCCCACGATAGCATGCGAGCTATCGTGCACAGGATCTTGAGCAAGGGCAAGCGGCAGACAATCCATGTCGCTTTGCCGCTCGGGGGTACTGCGACATGGACAACAGGTGGCGCTGCGCTTCAGGAAGCGTATCGAGAAGAAGAGGATCTTGATGCTTGGGCTTGGGAAGATGTCTGCTATCCTTCAGAATCTCCAAGCAGTCCAGCGCTGACATCGTATTGTGCTGCCCCATCCTTTCTAGATGTACGGAAACAGACGCTGAAGAATGTAGAGAAAGGCGCAAAGTCGTCTCTGTATTGCGGATATGTGGACGATCTCGTCCACAAGGTATGGTTGCCAATAAAGCAGACGTCAGACTCAGCTCAAGTGCCAGCAGCTTCTGTAGCGGCAGGAGCTTTGCTGTCTTTTGTCCTTACGGTCTTCTTGTACAGAAAGTTCGTTGGAAAACCTCACCTGACACTTCCAGTTGTAACATAAGCAGGGGAATGATCAAGAAACGACTCAGGGTCAGTGGCCATTGAAAACGTCAACTCAATTTCTCAGTGATGCTTTTGCATACGCCGTGGCCAGTGGTTGGTCAAAGCTTTCAGTTAACCGATTCTTACATGCTACTGTCTTTAAATAGGAGTAGTCGGAACGCTATAGTTAACAGCCTAGCCATATGGACGGAATGCACCTCACAGTGACTGAATGTATACCTCTGTTGATTAAGTTGCTCATTACGCTTAGATGCACTTTGGTATTGTGAATGTGGGTATATGTGTGACTAAGTTGCAAGCGCTCCATGCCGAAATTTGTCTGGATAAGATCAAAAAACATATGGCCTGCGGGTAAAGGTTGACATTCATGATCTCCTATGTTTGCAATTAACGTCTATGCGCGACTTTCCTAAGCTTCGAATCTACAACTAGCCATATGCAATAACATCATTGCTTTTGTTGCACGGAAGTGTAGTCGTCATATGTCTGACCATTGTTGCAGCGTACTGAAGTGGTTTGACCAAGCGCTCTCATTGAGTGGCCCCCTATCTAGCTGTCACGTACTGTTTCGACTATAAACTGTATGCCCGCGGCTGTAATGCATAAAGAGATCTTCTTAGGGTACCGTCACTTTGAAGTGGCACCCGGTCAGGTATTTTATCGAGGCACTTTGACTCAAGGGTCACAAGGCCCCCCCCCCTCCCATGGCCTTGTCATCCCAAAAATGGCCGTCAAGGCCCTGAGCCAGTCGCTCACCAACTGGGTCAACATTTTGGAGTAGAGCACTGTCGTATTATACACATTTCTACCTCTTTTTTTGCGTTGGAAAAGTGCACTTTTGTAGCATTCGATGCAGATGTTCAGACCAATGGGCAAAAAGAGGGAAGATTCTGCACCAAAGATCCAGCCGGGGCTGCGCCCCAAGTGAAAGGCCTCAAGCACCCCCCCCCCCAGCAGAACACCTAAAAGGGTGCATGCCACTTCAAAGTGACGGTACCCTTAGTAGGACATACGGTACCAGAGTAGGATAGAATGTCACATAGCAACAGGATCAAAGACATGTGCGTTGACAGGGTGGCGGGCCGGTTACCCAGATTGGCCTCACTTTTCCTTAGGCCAGAGTTGATACATGCGTTGCAGGGCAACCCATGATTTTAGGCATTCGGTTGCATGGTTGGATTCATACATACTGGTAAGCTTGATACAACAAGTCTGTGCCATGTAAGAAGTACGCACTACAGATTCTGTATGCATCATAAATTGGGTCTACGGTTACTGATTCTAAATGCTAGCCCACGACCATGGTCAACAGATTTTGCGATTAAGCTTGGCCTGGAAGGCCATCATTCTACATCGCAAGTTGACACCGAGTCTCTCCCAGTGTCCCGGAGCGAGAGGCCAGCGTCTCTGCTACCGGGGTTGCGCTGCTTGGCGCAGGCTCCAGGTTTCCTCAGTGTCAACTTGCATGTGATCCCCCGAGCACCCCAGTGCTCCCTGTCATGCGGTCTTATGTCGATGCGATATCATGTCGGTGAACAGACTGAGGCGCTCAGGCTAACGGCGAAAATGAAAATGATACGTCATTCCAGGTCACTCATACGGCATA